GCGGGGCAAGGCGGGGCACGGCGGGGTGGGGAGGAATTCCCCCTCGGCGTGGCCCGAGGCTGTTTGGCATATGAAGGTGGCCCGGCGTGGCGCTGGCCGGCCGCCCGCAAGGGGGCAGGGCCGGGGGCAGGGCCGGGGGCAGGGCCGGGGGCAGGGCCGGGGGCAGGACGGGTGCGGTAGGGCGGGAGAGGGGCGCGCGGGGAGGGGCGGCTCTGGCGGTTTGCGACGGGCGGCGACAACCAGTGCGGCTTGTCGAGTCGCTGCTTGAGACCAGCCCCGTGTGTGTGCGTCGTGCGTCGAGCTCTGCGTCAAGCTGCGCGTCGTGCCTCGCCTCGTCGCGGTCCACGCAGTGCACGCAGTCGGCGCAGTGCGCGTTTTCGCGGTCGCGGTGCGTCGGTGCGCGTGCGTGCGCGCGGCATGCGGCCGTGGTGGTGCTGCTGGTCGTGATGCTGGAGGTGCCCGGAGCCCCTGACGGCTCGGTGCCGATGGTCTTCACCACCGCCGCGACGTCGTCGTCGTCCGATCCGCCCACGCCGCCCACGCCGCCGCCATGGCCGTCAGGGGGGCCGCTGGCGCCGCCGCCGTCTCTGGAGCGGCGCCGCACGTCGTCCGTGTCCAGCAACCTGCGCAGCATGGTGAACATGGTGCAGCGCTACCTCTCAGGTCAGCACCGGGACCACCGGACGCGCGCGATCGACCCCACGCCGGTGACGAAGTGGGTGCGGCAACTACCAATACCCGCGGCAACGGCCAATACCCGGTGCGGGGCGGAGCGCGGTGCGGACGGCCGACGCGGGCATTAGATTGACGGTGACGGCCAGGCCGAGCGGGGCCGAGCCCTGAATGAGTGGCCGCGTGACGCGCCGCGACGGCCACGGCGACGGGCTGCTGGTGGCGGTGACGCTGGCCAGCGCGCGTGTACCTTGGCGGGCGCCGCGACGGACGCCGCGACGGACGCCGCCATCGCCGTGCGACGACCAGCGTGGCGGCGACGGCAGCGTGGCGCGCAGAGGCAGAGCCAGGCAGAGCCTTGCCACTGTGCCACTATTAATAGCGAGGATTGGGGCACGCAGCAGCGGCGGCAGCGGCAGGCGGGGTCCGGCAAAGCCAAAGCCCGGCGCGGCCGCGCACGCCAACGAGCGCCGGGCGTGCGGCTTGGTTATCGGCGCGGCGCTTCCAGTGGCTGCCCCTTGCCTTGCCCGGAGTGCGGAGTGTGGCGTGGCGGGCTTGGCAGGCGGCGTGCAAGTCTGCAGGGCTGCAAGGCTGCACGGCGCTGCTGATATGTGCGCCCGATACCTTGGCGCCGCGCTGCCGCCCCTGCCGCTCCCCCGGCCCGCCCGCTTTGAGTAGAGCGTGGAGCACGGCAGGGCGGGGACCAATATGTCACGATAGGGCGAGCCGGGACCAGGGAGAACGCGATACTCCCCTGCAACAAGCAGCTATCTACGCTCACTGTCTCGATAACCGACTATCTACGCGCGCTCTCCCGACAACCGGCTATCTACACGGGCTGTCTGGATAACCGACTATCCAACATCGTAGCGAGGTTAGGGTTGTCGTATAACGAAGTATTTTTCTCCATGACACTTAAAGCGACCCGTTTAAACCATACTTAATCTTGCTTTGACAAACTTTTGACAAGTTTTGGTAAAGGTTTTGCGAGGGCAACTTAATTGGTTGGATAAATAAAAGCATTCAATCTCGCGAGGTGGAGAAAGCAGATAGTCGGTTATCCAGACAGCCCGTGTAGATAGCCGGTTGTCGGGAGAGCGCGCGTAGATAGTCGGTTATCGAGACAGTGGGCGTAGATAGTTGCTTGTTGCAGGGGGGTATCGAACGGGAAACGGAACGGACGCCGCGGCCCGTGTGCTTATTGGTGCGTGACAGGCCGACGGGGTGGTGTATTCTCGACAAGGGTGGCGTGGCGCCCAGCGTAGCCCATCGTAGCCCAGCGCCCCCAGACGACGCCGGGGAGGGTAGGGGAGGGGGCCACGGTGACTGGCCGGTGACGGCATCGCGGCCACAATGGCTTCGCCCGGAGGCACTTGTTGGCGTCCCGCGGATTATTTCGGAGCCGTGTGTTGGGCCCGCCGCGCCGCGCCGCACCGCGCCGCGTGCTTGGCGCGGAGGGGCGAGGCGAGTGCGTTTCTGGCGTTGCCTTTCTCTCCGCCCCCCGCCCCCACCCCGCGTTATTTGCGGAATTCGCCGCCGTGTCGCCGCGGCGACGTGCCTTTGTTTTGGCCGCGAGTGCCGCGAGTCAGCCCGCGTACCGCGAACCGGTCGCCGGGTTCCCCTTGCAGGCCTCGGCCGCGGTCCACTCTCTGAATCAGCGCGGCCGCCGATTCACATTGATTTTTGTTTGTCGTTCCTTTTCTAAATGCGTGCATGACACAACGGCGCGCGGCGGGGAGGCAGCTCGTGGACCGCGCGTCGGGTCGCGCGCCGGCTGCGTGGGCGGAATAGGGCGATGCGTCGACGGCTGGGCGAGCCAAGCGAAACTGACGTCACCCCGCGGGGACATCCCCCCTCGCCCCCTCCCCCTTCCCTTTTCCCGACCACCACTACTCATTTAACGGCGTTGTGGGGCCGCTCTTTTTGCCGACGGGGTCGGGCCCCGCTGACACTGATTCGTGATTGTGACTGCCGACGGATGCAGCGAGCGCTGCCGCTGGTTGCGGCAGGTTGATTCCCAACAGTGGCGTCCCTCTCGCATTCGTGGTGTATCCCTATGGCGTGCGAGTGAGACAGAGCGACAAGGCACTGTTCGGCACGAAACTATACTGCTGCCGGCATGTGGTCGCCGTGTGCCGTGTGCCCGTCATGTAGGCCGAGGCCGGCCGAGGCCCAGCATGCCCAGTCCGTGGCTTGGACAGGCCGAGTTGTCGTGGCCATAGTGTGCGTGCTGCGGCCGCTGCGGCTCAACCGGTATAGCGGCACCTGTGCACACCGCGCCATATGGGATCTCTACTCCACTGGGCCGGCAGTCTGGCAGGGCGAGCTCGAGGGCCGGGCGGTAGGCAACGCGCCGCGCCTTGATTTGACCTCTTTGGACGTGGATGAAATGAAGCTTGGTTCGCGCCGAGTCTGCTGAATGTAAAGCAGAGAGACGTCGAGGTGCCCACGTACGGCACCCGTGTCGTCAGGTGGCTCGCGTCGAGTCGAGGGCTTCGCTCTTCTTTCTCCCCTGTGGGGCTGTCCTGTGAGTGCGAAAGGGACACAGCGACATTGCATCCGAAATCTCTCCGTCGAGCAGATACCGCACACACCGTAGTGGCCCAAACGTCCTCGACGGCGTCCTCGACGGCGTCCTCGACGGCGTCCTCGACGGCGTCCTCGACGGCGTCCTCGACGGCGTCTTCGGCACGTGTTCTGTGTACAAGGTGCGCGCGCCACGCGATTATTACCCTGTAATTGCAGTGCATCCGCGTTGCGGGTGGCGGCGATGGCGTTACGTAAAGGCTGGACGAAGAATGATTTTGTCGCTCTGTCTTCCTCGCACTCATGTGGTGCCCCTCCGAGGTGTGTGCGAGAGAGAGCTGGAAGGTGTGTCTTGGCCGTCTGCGGCCTGTGGCGCCCGTAGTCCGCCTGCGAGTTCCGTGCCGCGAGGACGCGGAGAAGTCCAGCTGGAGCCAGTTCCGCATTTCACGCGCAGTGTCCAACCTGGTCCAAACTGGCGGGCATTGGTAACGTCTCTGCTCTTCGCTTCTATCGGGGTGCGCCCGCTTGTCTGGGAACTGAAAGCCGAATGCTTTGAACTATACTGCAAACGAGGCGGCCGGACCGCCCGGTCAGAGAGAGGGCCGCCCGGGACGGAGCGCGTTGCGGGGGGCGTGGGGCGTGGGGTGTGGGGGACCGGCAGCGCCGTGTATGGCAGTGCGGCGGAGCGCGGCAGCGCCTTGCCTTTTTCGTCGTCCGTCGTCAGCGCGTGCATGGTGCATGATGGTGGTCCGGGTCGAGGGGAAGGAAAGGAAGGTGGACGTCCGTGACACGGCACGGCCAGCACGGCCAGCACGGCCAGCACGGCGTCCCCTGGGCGCCACTCGCTGCTCGGTTGACTCAGGCCTGGCCTGGCCGGGCCGATGGAGGGAAGGACGAGACCGTTTGCATCGAGTCTGGTGCCTGGTCAAAGGACTCGTGCTTCTCTGGAGACGACATTCCTACTCCTGGCCGGGGCAGTGGGCAGCGGAGCGTCCATGGAAGTGTACTATCACTCTCCAAAAAAAGAGACGCCCATCCATATGCTCAGCGCAGAAAGTCTATTGGGCGGGAAGTGTAGCCTGTCTCTTTCATTTAGCGAGTGATAGTACCGGGCCCAGTTTTTTTTTTGTTTGGCAATGGTGGTACCTTTGCTTTGGTAGCGCGCCCCCGAACGGGTCGGACCGTGCAAGGATTGAAGCGGGTGAGGTGAGGTGGGGCGGACGGGGGGGGGGGGACGCAGTGTGGTGCGGGTAGGCCTGTGCGATTATTGTCCAAAATCGAAATCGACCGATTATTGAAATAATCGAAAAGCCGACCGATACGATGCTCGGTAATCGGCAATCGAAACAAGGCCGATTAATCGACGAAAACCGATTAATCGAATTATCAATAATCGAACATTTGCGATTAATCGCCCTCAATCAATTATTTCTTGCCCAATAAATTGAATAAAACTGAAAAGAAATAGAATTCGTAAAGCGTAAACATGGTCCACAGTTAAGGCTTTTCAAGTACAGTGCAAAGATTGTCAGGTCTTCTGTTAATAAACAACAATAAATGTAATCGATAACCGTTTCAAAATTATTAATCGGTTGAAAATCGGCCACCGATTTTTAATCGTTAAAAGTTCGATTACCGAGCATCGAATCGGTCCACAAAAATAATCGTCGATTACTAAAATAATCGGAAATCGATTTCGATTATTCGATTAATCGCACAGGCCTAAGTCGTCCTGCCGGTGGGGCAGCCCGTCGCCCCACTACTGTGTTGTTTCATATCTCCTTTGTTTTGGTTTATTTCAGAACCCGGTAGTAGCGACACTGGAGGTGCCAATTCGACTGCTGGCCTCGCGGCTAGTTCACCTGTCAACAAACGCAGAGGCTTCAGTGGGTAAGTGACGGACCCTGATCTTAAATCTCAGGTAAATGTGATGGAGGGTATGCCCGAACTGCAGATAATCGTCATGGCTTATCTTCCGCAGGCGGAAATGGTTACCACCTCCTCTAAGAAAACTAAGTGGAGGCAAAGTAGAAAAGGCGGACAAGGATAAAATTTCCGCTGCATCGTCATCAGCAACTTCATCTTCAGCATCTGAAAAACCAGCTCTCAAAAAGACAGGTTCTGAGAAGAGGTTTAAGGTATGTAATCCTTTCGTTGTGTTATTGCACCTCCTGTCTCCAGAATCAATTGCATATACACTTGTATGATAATTTATTTTTATCCTTTTAGGTACCGCCTGCAGATTTGTCACCGAGGTCACCAGCACCAGCGGATCACAATGGAGAGGAGGCTGAAGAAGAAGTAGAAGTAGAATTACCACCTCCAATGAAACCAATATCTGAAACAATCCTTGTTGGTGGAGCTGCCTCATCTGAAGACAACCATGGCAAAAGGGTAAGTCACAGCAAGAATTATGTCTAAGGAAAAATGTCATCTCTCAGATCTAAGATGTTCAGGGACCTTGGCCAAGAGTTACATACGTTAAAAAGCGTTCCATTATTTCTTTATCTCCAAGTACCTATTTGCTTTTTCAGTCATCTAGCCTCTCTGTTAAGGCATTGGAGGGAACCTCAGCTGATCTGGCTGAAATCGAACAAATCGTCAAAGAAAGAATGGTGTGTTGGCTTTCAAAGCCTACATTTATGCCTGAAATTTTAACTAATTTGTAGAATTGAGCTTGTGTGTATTTTTATGCACTCTACCGAACTATGTTTATGTGATAGTTTAACCACATGTATCTTAATCCTTCTGCTTTTCCTTGTTGTGCAATTTTTTGAATATTTTCCCAACATTATTTGTTTTAGTATCGTTGTTTGAGTAGTATGCATGATGTAATTTTAGTGAAACATTTAGCGTTTCATTTTTTCAAGATGTTTCAAGCTATATTTGTGTTTTTAAAAAGGCAATATTATGTGCCTGGGTAGAAGTAGCTGGTAGAGAGTACTGTTTTATGGCAATCATCACTGTTCTACATTCTGCAGTGTGTGACATTGCAGATTAGAACAATAAGTCACTGTTGTTGCATGTTCACACTCCCTTTGTTGTAATATCTTAGTTTCCCAAGTAGTTCAACATATGTCACATTTAATTACGTGTATTAGCTGAGTGCATGTCAGTTGTAACTGGTATCATAATATTGCTCAAGTTTGTTTTGAAGTTTGGACCTCTCACTTTCTCTTCCTAAGTTTTTAAATTGTGAGGCAAAACAGTACAAATACTTCTGAAAGTGCATCTGCTGTAGTTTTACCGTCAAACGTTTGCCTTAATATATGCCTTACATATTGCTTTTTTTTTCTAGGAACAACACACCGAAAATCAAGAGCGCAACAGCTTGATGAACCGTGACTCCAAGTTGTCAAATGATATGTCAGCGACTGGGTCTGGGTGTGAAGGAGAGGGTGAGGCAGATGGTGGACCGACTGAAGAGAGTGCGGATAGCGAAGGAACTGCTGGTGCAGGGAGTGGAAGTGGGGAGGAAGATGCCATGCACAAGAGGGAATATGTGATCCAAGAACTAATTGAAACTGAAAGAGACTATGTGAGAGACCTGCAGCTAGTGACTGAGGGCTACATGACGTTGATGCGTGATCCAGATTGTGAAATACCTATGCCTGAAGATCTACTAGGACGTAAAGACAAAATGGTGTTTGGCAATCTTGAGGCAATTTATGAGTGGCATAGAGAGTAAGTAAACCTTCAACTATTTTTATACTTTGACTTTCTGGTTAAAATGGTTTTGTTCCTCTCCATTTGCTTATCCTTTTCATATTACTGTTTCAGTTTTTTTCTGAAGGCTTTAGAACGATGTCAACTTCACCCTGAAGAAATTGGCCCCCTCTTTAAAAGATATGAACGCAAGCTCCACATGTATGTTGTATATTGTCAAAATAAACCTGTATCTGAATACATAGTTTCAGAACATGACACCTACTTTGAGGTATGATAAACCCCTAGTCTATTGTACCAAGAATAATTCCTCACGATTTCTTGCACCACTAAAATATTCTTTTTCCAATTTAGGAATTGAGGCAGAAATTAGGGCATAAATTGACCTTATGCGATCTTCTTATTAAGCCAGTTCAACGCATTATGAAATATCAACTGCTTTTAAGAGACATTTACAAATATACTGAGAGAGCACAACTGACAAATGAATTAGAGTCACTTAGACAAGCAACCAGAGTGATGCAGATTGTGCCGAAGTCTGCAAACGACATGATGGATGTTGGCAGACTTCAAGGATTTGATGTAAGTGCATTTAGTACCCAAACTTTTGTTCATTTTGTAGACCCCTTTTCTTCAACTTTTGTTTAATACTATCTCTTATATATTGCAGGGTAAAATCACTGCACAAGGAAAGTTATTGATGCATGGTCCTTTAAACTGCATAGAAGGCAAATCAGCCTTAAGTAATTTAAAATCAAAAGAACTACAAGTATTTTTATTTGAACAAACCATGATCTTCAGTGAGGCTGTCGGTAAAAAGACACAATTTACCAATCCGGTTTACATACACAAGGCACATATACAGGTATGTAGATGTGAATTGACTCATTTTAAAGATGTCCATGTATATTGTTGTTTTTTATGTTTCTGTAATGTTTTTTCCACATCAAGGTTAACAAGATGGACCTGAAAGAATCTGTTGATGATGGTGATCCCTGCAAGTTTTCAGTTTGGTCGACAGATCCAAAAAAGACCAGTCTAGCATATGTGTGCCAAGCTGCATCTAAAGAAAGTCATGATGAGTGGGTTTCCACCATTACAAACATTTTTCAGACTCAGCGAGACTTCCTCAAAGCCATCCAGTCACCCATCGCTTACCAAAAAGAGCTCACCAAAGAGGTGTAAGTAACTGGTATATGTTATTCAAACTGTGGCAATAAAATCAAAGATCAAAGATTTGTTGAATGAGGTGTATGTTTTTATAATCTACTTTTTTCTAAAAGAAATTCGTGAAGCAATTGATGTTTTATATTTTATGAAATAGATTTATTTAAATTTGTAGAAAAGCTACAAAGTATTGTTGTGAGTAAAATTCATTGTGTAAGTACATCTAGTAGGAAGTGTGATAAAAGCATTGAGAGGATATCTGAAATACAGTTGGAAAGATTTTTTTTATCTAGTGCAATGATTAGTTTGAGGGAATGCAAAAAAACTAAGACAGTGATTTTTAGCCATTTGCAGTAATTCTGACTCAGAACTCAGTGTTGTGGAGCTATAGTATAAGTGCATTTCCTCATTAAAAGAAAAATCTTTTCCTGAACATGTTGGTCTTATTGTGGAAAATCAAGCAATTAGCCGTGGGAAAATAGATGTCATCCTTCTCTGCTTCCCTGATACCAGTTGATTGTACCAATACTTGTATCTATTCCATTCTCTCTTCTTGAGTGAAATCTATTTTAGAAATTTTGGCTTTCTATTGCTCTGGTCAAATGATTTTGTGTCAACATTCGGATTTGCTTAATCTCACTGGGTCTGTGGTTCTCAACATTACTCACAATTATCTCATTGGGTGTTTTTATTTTTGACTCAAGTGTTGTATTTGAATTTTTGTAAAGAGGAATCCCAACAACAGCCACTTGTAGGAATTTGTAAAGAAAGTTTTCTTATGATTTTGTTCTTAATGGAAGTGATCATGATGAATAACAAAACAGTTTTCCACAGTATTGCCGACGCACAACATTTCATAACTTACACCAGGCAATAAAAGCTTTATTTACTTCAAGAATCACGGAAAGAGGATTGATCTTGAAGGGAGAGGGTCCATCAAGGTTTAAATGATTGTATTAAGTCTTATGATGATTTCCTTGTTTTAATTATTACTCAAGTTAAGTCAGTGCAGTGTGAAAATGAAAAGGGAGAGGGTAAAGGTATTAAAATAATAGTCTTGCGTGGGACATATTAACCTAAGTTCATGTTTGCAATTGGCCAAGTATGCCCAAATCAAAAAGAGTAAGTGATATAAATTTATAATTCGTCAAAAGCTGTGCTTTTTCAGGTGATGTCAAAGCTACTAAACTTCAAAGATGTTGATCATATTGGCAGTTTACCATTAGCAATTGCTTTAGAATTGAGATAACTTACAAAAATTTTGAGTGGCTGTGGTGGGGCAGTTACTGTTGTTCAACATAATGTGTTGGACAACACAAAAATTACAATATTACCTGTCTATTTTTATTATTATCTTTTTTGATACTCTGTGGAGTATTGGTTAGTTTTGAGCATTATAATGTGATGACGTCTCCCCCCTCTCTGAACTGAACACTTTGCAATAGAACATGTCAAAGGGTCACAAATGAGTGGGAACATTATCAACTTCATATTCCCTGAAACCATCCTTGTTAAAAACTGCATCACCTGACATGTTGTTCACTATTTTAAGTGACTATTTCTGAAATTAAATTAAAGAGGTCCGTTTTGAACTTTTTTTTTCCCCATGGAAAGAAAAAGAAGACTTAGTGTGTAGATTTGTCAGTTACCATAGAACAAGATGGTTATACAGAGTATGGAGTTACCACCCAGAAGTGATAGCGTTTAAAAATATCTTTTTCCCCCTCTCCTTGTGCCCACTTTTATTTTTCAATTGTCTTTCCACTTTTGTCATCAAGATGTGCACTTATTTAAAGATTTAATATGGATTTTATTTGGTTTGATATGAAGCGCATAAGACAAAACTTTCTGTATTTATCTGATACAGTAATTTGCTGATGTCATATCAGGGTAAGACGAGTTGTACCCTCTACCATCCCATGGTAGATGACATTCCAGGGTGCATTAGTGGAGTGTGTGTTGTGTGTACTGTTTTCTTAGAAATATTCTCTTTTTCTTCAGTCATTTTGGCTGTAGTTATATATATGTAATATCATTTTTATATCAGATGAATTGAATTTCAAAGCTCCAAATTGCAAACTAGTTCTCTTGGCACGTATGTGTTCTATTTGAATGAAAGGATATTCTAAGGTAAAATTGCTTAGTGTTTTATGTTACCAGTACTGTGTTACAAATTCATTTTGTAATTGTAGCAATACCAGTTCAGAACTAAATTTCAGTTGTGTTTTGTCTTATGTGCCGATCAGGATACTCAGCAGGAATGTGTATTGAGTACTGTTTAAAAGTTGTGTATCCATTAATGATCCATTGAATCCATAGAAAATTGCAATAAATTTTCTGCTTGTCCAAAAATATATGGTCATTGATGGCAATTTGATAGTTATATAATGTGAGCACTGTTATTATTTGTGACTAAACCAATACTGTGTAGTAAGTGTAGTTAAAAAAATCATGCCAGTTCAACAAAAGAATTGTTTAAGTCCGTTTTTGCTCAATGGATCCTATTAATTTTCTTTTGATAATTGCCTGTTTTGTCATAATTTTTTTTTGTTAGGCTTTCTTATTTGTATTACAACTTGCCACTGAAAGCAAACAGTTTGGAGTTACAAGTATGTATGCTCTTTTGACACAATTATTTATGTTGATGGAAAGTTGAAGTTTTGTATTGAAACGCCTGACATGTAGTGGCCTAGCCAGTGATAGAACATCAAGTGACAAAGAGCAACACCACTTTCACTTGACTTCCATGATTTCTTCTTGTTTGTTCCCCCTCCCCTTTTTGTGCCCACTGCAAACCTGGTCTATGATCAGTGTTCATCCCACATGTCAAAATTAATTTGGTGGTTTTGATGTGCACTTGTCTTCTTGGCTATGTCACTGCTGTGATACCTAGGATTTAACCTTTGTTCATAATTTTCTCCTGCTCTTTCTCTGCATTGCAGCCACAGCATCACAAGCAACATCATGAATTTGTTGGCATACTGTTGTCAGCTCTGTACCAGTTATTATTGTGACAACTCAGTGTTTAGTAAGACGGAAACAGGCTGCTGAATTTTCACTAGTCTCTAAGATCTAGTCCATTTTAACTTATAGCAAGGTTAGGTTTATCTTTTCTTTTCTGTTTTTTGTTTTCCTGATTTCCTTTTTTTATGGCTGTTACGGGTATGTATAGGGAGCAAGCAAGTGGCTAAAAAAATTATTCCCGTTCCTTTCTATAAGTTCATTTTTCATATATTAGCTGTAAATTCTTGCCTTGTTAGCTCGACCCTTCAGCAGCAGTTTGTTGAAAAGAAAAAATAATTGAAATTCCATACATTCTTTCTAGTCATGCCCTTGTAAGATTGAACAAAAGTAAGAACATGAAACATGTTTGGAAGTAGTTATTGTTTCACTCGGTACATTACTCTCTGTTTTGTAAACATTTTGCTTCTTCAGCGTTTTGTTTGTTGCGTATCTTGCTTCTTTTCCAAGTGCAACAGTTGTCATATGGTTATTATGTTGTTATTAACCATGACTAGGTTATGCTATTTTGTGGTGCATTACCTTATGTGATAGGGAAACTGACTATTGTAATGTAATCTACAACATGGCCAGTGTTATATTGACTGTGCAAAATCCTATAATGTACATAAGTATGTATGTTTGTACATAAATAAATCAAAATACAATTTTTTCATAAACGTGTGTTTGCAGTTGATATTTTTTAAATGACCATAATGTGGCCATATCGTGTATCACACAGAAGATCATTCTTCTCACCAGAAATCTACTTTATTTATTTTTATTTATTTTCTGCGTGACTTGTGGTTTGGCTGCTTTTAGATGTACTGCCTACGACTGCCTACCTGTAGTTAGATGTGTCATTTGTTTGATTATTAACTTTTTCTTTAGCTTTTTCTCTTATTTTTGCTTAATTATAACTAGATAGTGTGTAAAACTTGAACCCTTTTAGTGGTCGATTTGATAAAAGGTATTTGTGGCACTTGAAGCGAAGCACTCATAGCACTTTCTGTCAGGCATCCTTTAAACCTGTCACCTCAGTTTGCCACGCAAGCCATTCTTAAATATTTCTTGAGCATATAATTTTGAATAAGAATGTAAGCTATTGCAACTATTTCTTGGAAAATGCTACAAAATGTGAAGTTCTGTCATGTTTGAATATTTTCAAAGTTCCCTGTTGAGCTTGATTTGATTTATGAGTCAATGTTAGTCAACCTGTACTCCATGATGTTTCAAGAGTACATGAAGTTTTGAATCGGAAAAATCTGCAGTAAAGATGACCCTAGTGTATTGACCGAGCCAAAATTTCCAGAATTAAACTAGCTTGATTTGAATGTGAATGAACCATTAAGTAAAGTTTTCTATGTTTTCTAGTATAGCAACATACTTGTATGGCAATAATGCTTTAAGTGATGCATGCTTTCACCTCATTTGATTGATTGATTTTTTTTTCTTTTCTTCAGTTTCCACACAGAAACTAACATATTTTTTAAAATAATTTTATTTTGGTTTATTATTTATGTTGTGTTTTTTTTTTGTTTGTTTGTTTTATCAACACTTAACAACGCACATCCACCATCTACTAATGAAGGCCGGAATGGGGCTCAAGATTCTCTAAAAGCATCAGTGACCCAGGGAATAGCGACCACCTGTCTGATGATGACTGTCCGGTTATCGTGGAAATGCCAAACTTTTCTTTAACTCAAGATAGGTTACTTGATATTAGTAAAGATTGCATTTCCGATAAACCTAGGACCCCAAGCCCCTCCAAAGTGAAACTCCCATTCTTTGAAGGGTTTCGTAACACATTTCGTGCAAGAGCTAGGAGTGAGGATGTGGACTGCAGTAATGGAGACTTAATGCAAGCTCTTAATGTCAGTCGCAGGTGGTCAGAGACACAAACAAATCATGTGGTAAGGCAGGAATAATTTCTTCCCATCTTTTGCTTACCTTAACTTATAGTCCTGGCATCTAAATATAGTATCAATTCATTATCTGGAGACATTTAAAATTGATTTCTGTCATTTTGTCGCCCTTCAATCCCAATTTATGAATGGTTTATTTATTGTGTTTTGATGCAGGTACTTTGCTGCTTTACATTATTAGAAGCTCAATTTAATTTACAGTAAAATGAAGTCAATGTGAATGTCTCCAGAATCAAAGAGAAAAGCATGGATTTTGGCATGGTTTAGCTTGTTTTTACTTAACTTTCTCTTTCTCCTCTTCCCCTCCCTACTTTTATGCCTTGCATTACTAATTTTTATGCCTGATATTGCATGAGTTGGGTGCAAACATGATTGTTTCTTCTGAATCAAAAAGAATAGATGTATACAATCTGTTCCTATAACCAAACATAAACACAAGCATATTCAGAGTTAAATCAACACGTTAGTGTGTGAAATGACTTTCATGACCCAAGGTTATTTTATTTACATCATGGATTTTCCAGAAGCACACAAATGTGTATGATTAGTTTCTGCAAAATCTACTGCCTGATTAATCCTGCCCCTACGGCAACCTATTGGAATCATGCATATTCTTGAACATATTTTCCAAAGGTTTGAAAATATAGTATTGAAAGAAAAGGAAACAATAGTTGACTGTTTTTACTTTATTGGAAGAATGTAGAGTAGCTTTTGTGGATGAGGTTTAGCAGCATGCAGTTGTTTTGACTACTATTAAATTGCCATCATAGATGCAAGTTTATTTAACTGGTAAGTGTACTTCATTTTATCTTATTATTGAAATTTCATCTCTTGCATCTTATTGTAGTAATTTTTACAAGAATCTATTAATATATTTTCACGCTTGACCTGCACTGGTCTTTGAACTGTTTCATTAAAATGTTCGGGAATCACATGCAACTATTTCCCTCTTCTTAAGTGTGGACTTCCATTTAGCTTGGTTGAGTTGATTATGTAGAGTGTTGTTGGAATGGCATGCTTACTTTAGATTGAAATACTACACTGTGCTGATCTATTTTCATGTGGCTTTCTCCTTTCTCACCTCCTTGCTTTGCATGTAATGGCAACAGTGTTATTTGAATGTTTCTTAATTTGGATTGATTTGAAACTTGCTTGGTTTGGATTATTGTTTCAATAAGTTGTGGCCCTTTGCAGGAGGCAGTGGACAACACTATTGCTTGTGTAGTATCAGACTGGCAAGCTTCGGAAGCTGGACAGCTCTCCCTGCGTCGTGGAGAGAGAGTGAAAATTTTGAAGCAATCAAAGGCTAATGGAGTTTTAGTCCAGAAGCTGAGAAATTCACAAGCAGCAGAGTTTCATTCAACAGAAGAAGGATGGGTACCCGCTCATGCACTTGCTTTCTCCAGCACAGTAAGTATTCGTAGGATGCATTGTGCTATTTCTCAGTAAATTTCATAAATATATTTATGAATATTCTTTTCCTTTTGTAGGCGTCCATTTTAAATGGGACCTCAAAGAAGCCATGGTCTTTCAAATTTCGAAAGCCTAGTTTTAATTCTGGCACTGCTGGAATATTGAAAAAGCGAGTTGCTGGTCAAGTAGTTGCTGATCAAGCAGGCCTTGAAAAAGTTAATGGAAATAGCTCTGAGTCAAAATTGGAAATTGTGAACAAATTGGCAGACACTACAGTACCAATTGGGGTTACTGCGCAGTTGAAGTGTCAGCTGCATGTTCCCAGTTTTATGGGTAAGGAAGTTCAAGTTTCCTAACTTTCGGCAAGAAACTTTTAAACTCTTATTTAAATAAATATCTCATTTTCAGATGTACAAGATGCTAATATTATTTGGAAAAGAAGCATAGGTAAAGACAGCGGATTTAGCAGCTGCTTGGTTGAGGGAAGAAGATATTCCATGGACTTCAGTGAGGAGGGTGTTGCATCCTTAACAATTAGTGATTGTCAATCATCTGATGCTGGCATTTATTCCTGTACTATCAATGCAACTAACCCAACTAGTCTGTCTGTTACAACTTCTGCATATCTGTCAGTCACAGGTTAGTGCCTATCATTTATAAATGATAATACATTTGCCATATAGAGAGTGACATTTAGAAATATAAACTTGGGTGATTATTTTACAGTCATGCCTGTAGGAAAACCAAGAGCTCAGGCTTTGTCACCTACAAGTGCTTTAGTTGTGTGGGATGGAGACCCTGAAGCTCACTACACGCTTCACTATCACAAATGTGACCCAGAATTTTCAACCTGGTCCGATGAGTCTTCTGTTAACACACTCTCAGTTCTTGGCCTGTCCCACTGTGTAGATGGGCTCTCCCCTGGATGTTCTTATGTATTCAGAGTGTCTAACAGTGTACCCTCAGCTCCTCTTGCACTACCATTACCAGCTATTTCAAATGGATACAACTCATCAAGGTCTGTGTAGAAATTTTTATTTCAGTCGTCTCGTGGATTTGGCATTGTAATTTACCAGTCTAAAATCTGAAAGAGAATTATTTTATTGTAGCGTTTTGTTTTGTTTTGTCAGGTGGCAGCAAGAACTATTTGGAAGACGTTACCTGGAATGTGAGGTGCTAGGGAGAGGAAGGTTCTCTATTGTGAGGAAGGCACAAGATCGTGGAACAGGTCAACTTGTGGCAGCAAAGCAAGTGAATAAAGTCCGACAGGGCACTGACGTCACACATGCTGAATACTCAACTCTACTTGGCTTACAGCATCAAAGTATTGTTAGAGCCTTTGCTCTTTTTGAATCGTCTCCCCTTCCAGAAGTGGACACTATCATTATGGAATTGTAAGTTCCTGTGGCTGCAAAATAACTCTTTGCCCCTTCCCCTTCTACCCTTTTTTATGTAGTGATTTCTTTACAATATTTTGGATACTGGACATATATTATGTAATTGTAATAATTTTTCTAGGGTTTCTGGCCCCATGCTTCTCACCTTCATTTGTCAGCAAGACACAGTATCAGAAAATGAAGTCCGCAAGTACATGAAACAGCTATTCACTGCTCTAGATTATCTTCACAACAAAGCAGTTGTTCATTTAGACATTAGGGTGTGTATAGATTCTTTTCACTATGACTTTATACTAAGCACTAAATCTTTTTGTATCACTTAGATTTATGACTACTAATTTTTACTTGTATCTAACAGCCAGAAAACATTCTTGTTGATTTGGCTGGTTCTGGTCCACTTGTTAAATTGATTGATCTAGGTGGACATGTCCACCACCAGTACTTACAAGAGATACCTCCACCTGCAAGCTTAGAATTTGCTGCCCCAGAGTGTGTTCTTGGACAACCTTCAGGTCCTTCCAGTGATCTGTGGGGTGCATCTGTGTATTTGTATATCTTGCTCAGGTATGAAAGATTAAGTTTTTTTTAAGGAATGGTTTTTAAAATATTCTAAATTTACCCATAACTATGTGCTTTTTTTTATTTCAGTGGCCTTTCACCTTTTCTTGATGAAAGCGTAGAAGAAACAACAGCTAATGTTTTGAAGTGTGATTATTCCTTTCCTGATGAGTTTTTTGGATTGATATCTTCTGAGGCAAAATCTTTAATAAGCAATATTTTGATTGCTCAACCGAATCACAGAATGTCTGCTCATGATGCTCTTGATAGCTTTTGGTTCCAACTGGTAAGCACTTTTGTGTACCATTGATTAGACCAACCAATTATTCTTTGGTCATTGGAGTTATTTAAATATTATTAATATTTTCAGGATGATCTTCCATGCAAGATTCCAACTTCCCGTTTGGTATTATTTGTTAGCAGAATACAACCACCATCTCAACCTTTATCTGTGTGAATTTTCTGTTACATCTGTTAACCATCTAAATCTGATGTTTAGAATGTGCTATGAGTGGTTTAAAATTATATTTAAATGTTGTGATACTCTTTTCTAGTGTGATGCTTAATAACATGTATCTGATCAGTGAAAGGTCTATCAAGTTAGTTACATAAGTTTGTGATTTAGTTTATGACAATTTTCTAGCAATTTGTGTTAATGACATTTTTAAATTATCTATTGTCATTGTTTGTCTGTGATCAATGTGTGGTTATCATGTCTTTCAGCAGGCTGTTAGAGTCTGACAAATAAATTTATTTTAATTGAAAAAATTGTCATGTTTCGTTTAATACAAAATCCAAACGCTCACATCCTGCAGCAAACCATGAATTCACTTCTGCTAAAATGATATGGTCTGTTTCCAAAATACCTTGCCCGCCTCCATCCCCTTTGTTTGAGGGAGGTCAGACAAATTATTTGTGTAGTTAGAGTCATTCATTCATGTTCATTCATATCTTTCTATGGATGGTGTGAAATTTTATTTAAATTCAAGCATGATCTCAACCGTAGTAAGGACAGGGAATTCTGTAAGATGTAAAGGTCTAGCAGACGAAAATAAAAAGCAAGCAGACGAAAATAATACGAGATGAAAAAGGAAGGGGGGGGGGGAGCCAGGGGGACGGAGGGGAAAGGGGCCGGGGCCAGGAGGGCCGAGGGGGCGGGGGGCGGGACAGAAGACAGAGCGGGGGGGATGGTGGTGGTGGTGGTGCGCAGAACAACAACAGTGAGCTGAGAAAGTTATTATTCAGGTTCTGGTTACTTGATCTTGTTTTCGGCTGGAGCAGTAGACTATTTCCAATTATTGAATTTTAAGTATTTGACTTCAAATATAGGAGATGTCGCACCGTCGTGCCCGTTAGGCTTATCCTAAAAGGAGGTAAGTTATAGTAAACAACTCGGTCAGGTTATGTTCCTGTTCAAAGTAGTCACTTATCAATCATTTGCAGTCATTTGTTAAGTGATCAATATTTGACAAATGATAGTACTTTTCTTTCTTATTTACGATTGTTTAATTTCTCTTGAGTAAAATCGAGTAAAATTGTTTATGAACACGACAATCCTTATCCACTACTTACCTCACTAATTTTTTTTTCGTTTTACAACTACATTTTCCTTATTTTCTTGTGTCACTGTTTTCGCAGGTTTCTTCAGGATGGCTCCACACATTCAGCCAAAATCCTTGTATGCACTCTCCTTAGCTCACATTCGAAATGCAATTGGAAACGCTTGTGAGAAAATTCATTTACAGTATGGCAATTACGACCACCCTCAAAGTAGTGAAGAAGTGTTATACCTCCAAAATTACCTCCTTTCAAGTCTACCCGGTATGGTTATTGATGAGCTGTGTGAAGAGACAAGATTCTCAAATATTTATAATAATACGGATGTTCGAATCAAGTTGGGTGTCTATATGCATCCACTCATGAAAAAGTTCAGTGTCTTACAACGCTCGTGGGAATTCAGGCAGCTTGATGAATTTTGGCTTCAGAAAATTCCTTCCTTAACTCGTCTTGTTGTGCTGAATCTTTATCATGTTGCAACTGATGAAATTATTGAAGAAGTTAGCAATAACTGCCCTCTCTTGGAGGACATCAATGTTGTTTCAAAAGTTGAAAATGTGGGCAACTCAGCCAATCAGAACTTCAATGCAATGAAACTGAAGTTCTTTGTGTCAGATGTAGGTCTCAATCATTTAGTCAAATGTAAAAGATTGAAAATTATTGTAACCAACAAGACTATTCGTTCCAACTGTGGTGGTCGCATGATGACTCATGATGGCTTCCGGGCATTACTGAAGGGTTTGCCTCATCTGGAAATGGTCAGGTATGGTGATTTAGGTTCTGTGATTGCTACTGGGATGGACAATGTTGGAGAGTTGTCTCTAACATATGTAAGTGATAACCATCCAGATGCAAGTCACATTGAGGCCGCATCTCGGTTGTGCCCACATTTGAAGCATCTCAGTCTTTCTCTTCCTCATCAAGACAGGCAATCAGGAGCTGACACTGCTAGTGAAGACATTGCAAGGTCTCTGGCACAGAGTGGCTTGACCCCTTCTGTACTTGAATTGCAGCATTTTTCATTTAATGTTGAAATTGAAAATATGTTTGCAATCAAAGGAATCCATCTGTCTAGTTTATTTTTGTGCTCTATGAATATTATCACCTCTAGAGAAGTGATTATAATAGGTCAAAATTGCCCAAATGTGAAAAATGTTCATATAAAGGGTTTAGGTACTGAGATGTCTTCCAGTAGTTTTTCTCGATCATTCTCTCAACCAGGGCCCATGTATAGAAATCTCAAGTGTCTTTATGTTTCTGGAAAGGCCTGGGATGTGGAGTACATTCTTCAGCTATTTTTAGCCTATGCAACAGAACTGACAGGATTGAATATTTGGAATGAAACACCCTCACCTGAATCAGATAAAGCATTGAGTAAAGTGATCTCTCAACTGACATTCAATGAGCTTAAGACTGCTAACTTTTGCTATGGCTGTCGTCTATCAGTGGAAACTGTCAGGAAGCTTATCTATCGTTGTCCAAAACTAACCCATATTACAGTCTGGGAGCATGAAGCTCTTCAACAAGCTGAAATTGAAAATATACAGAAAGAGGCTTCTTCTAGAAATTTTGATGTTGATTTACAACCTCTCGTCATGAATTGATAATATGTATTATCAGAAATGTAAACAGAATCGGTCAATTGTTTGTCCCTGATATTAGTCCTGAAGTTTTCGCACAAGAAATGAGCCTGCTGATGCTGTGTGTGGAGTACCACCAGGTTTATTTCTTTTGCGAGTGGTTGTACATTTTGCTCTTTTGATCAAGCCATTCTTTGGCAGCTATTCTCATTCTTTTGTGTAAAGTCTGTCTCTCTGCTAGCTTTGTGAAATTTACATGGAAACACGCCAAGGTGCATGTTACAGATAAATTACAAATTGTTTACCCTGTAAGTTCCTAACAAGGTTTCCTGTAAATTTATTTTAAGTTTGTAATCCTTTACACTGTCATTGTTAAATAGTTCTCATGTAAAATAATGTATTATTAGATCAAGCCTGCCTTTTGTAAATTAATATGTAATAGTTGAAGGGTAATACCTGTTGAAGAAATTTTTTGATCTCTCCTATGAAAGCATGTACCCATTCACATGTCTGTCTATCATAACATACGTCATTTATGTAAGGTTCCATTTCTGTGATAATAAATTCTTTATGTCAAGATTACTGTTTCAAGGCATCAATCTCCATTCCATTTTCCAGTGGTTGAGATGAAATTAAAACCCGTCATGTAGCGGTGGAAAGCCTCCAAACTGACGCAGCCGCTTGTTTCCATGCGGTGTTTTTATATTTTCTATAAAATAAGTAGAGGTAGTAAGTTGGGCAAGAAAAGTAAAGGATAAGAGAAGTAAAAAAAAATTAAGAAATTTAATAGGCGTTCACAATCAGATTTTCATGTTTAGTTGAAATTATTGAAACGAAGTCTAGGTGCCAGCTCCATCAGGGTGAACTTTCCTTACCCTGTTGTCTTCCCCAACGTACCCCACGTTTGACATGTTCGGATGGGGGCGGAGCGGGGCGGAGTGAGATGAGCCTAGAGCTTGCAGCTGGCGGCGAAGGCGGACGGGTCCTTGCAGTACTTGTAGGTGGTCCACGCCTTGAAGCCGTCCTTCTTGAGGCGCTTGGTCTCGTCGTAGATGGCGTGGACGCACTTGTAGACGCGGTCCATGTCCGTGAGCAGCGTCTGGCACGCGACGCCGCAGCCAAGCTTGGGGCCGCGGTCGCACCACCAGCGGCTGTTGATCTGGAAGATGCCGTAGTCGATGCTCTTGTCGCGGTTCGGCTTGCTCACGGCCGCCGTGTCGTACCTGCCAGGCGGGCCGACGTCCGAAATGAACACACACTCGAAGGGCTCGTAGTCGTCAGAATGTGAATTTTGTCACGTTCATTTGAAGGCGATGTCACGTTTCGTCGGAACGTGACACAGCCGTTAAATTAAATTGCCACAGTGTGGAAAACAAGGGAAGAAAGATGAATACGACCAACGTACCGGGACTCGTGGTAGGCGATACACACGAAGGTGGGAATCTGGCTGACGGGGAAACCGTTCTGCTTGAGCTCCCTGGCCAGCTCGCACTCGCCGTAGATGCGGCCGTGCGCGGGGACGGCCGCCAGCAGCACCAGCAGCGCCGCGCTCGAGCACACCAGGCCGGCGGGGGTCATCTTCTTCTCGCGGAGAGCGTTGTCGGATGGGCGGTATCGACCGACGCGAACAGTGTCGACGTCGCGAATATCGCGCGATGCGAGTGCAAACTCGTTATATACCCCACGTAGGGCCCCACCGACGCCCCGCCCCGCCCCGCGCGTCCGCGGACGAGGAAAAGAGCACTTCAAACACGGGCGGAACGAAGCGGACCCGCGCCGAGATGCCACACTACAACGAGCATAAGCGACAGCAAACGCGGAAACGTGCGCAGCCAGCCTTCATGAAGCCCACCCACTCAACGCAAGCTAGTAGATGGCCTGGCCGAGTCCCAGTCGTCCAAATCAAAGCGAAGCGCCTCTTTTCCCCCTAGAGACAACCTTTCCATCTCGCAATGCATCACGCCTTGCGACCCACTCGCAACGTCTCAAGTGCTCACCGGTACTGTACTTGGCTAATCTGTGAGCTGCAGTCTGAAACCGTTTTCGCCGAGTCGGCCTCAAACAAGCCTTAGGTTTAGAGGAGGTAAGCGAGGCCATGAGACTAGGGGTAATGGACTCGCAACGGAGCTGGCCGGAATCTCTGCTTTGCTAATTGTAGTTCACTATTTCTCCGACTAAATATGAGAGTTTTGAGATGGCTCGGGCATTTTTGGAAAGAAGACATCTTAAAGTATGCCCTAAATTCAAAAAAGGTTCAATTTTCCCACCAGGGCTCGAACAGGAACAGCTTAACCGTTGCGCTACTCAAATGCACAGGGCGACGGGCATGGTGCCAGGGGCGACGCAGGGGGGGCGCCTCTTCACCTTGCGCTAGAAGCTTCCGGATGCCGCAAAAGTGATGGGACAAGTGGTGCACCTTGATATATGTCGAAGACAAACTATGTCCCATCACTTTTGCGGCATCGGGAAGCTTCTATCGCAAGTTGAAGATGCGTCCCCCCTGCGTCGCCCCTGGCACCATGCCCGTCGCCCTGCGCATTTGAGTAGCGCAACGGTTAAGCTGTTCCTGTTCGAGCCCTGGTGGGAAAATTGAACCTTTTTTGAATTTAGGGCATACTTTAAGATGTCTTCTTTCCGAAAATGCCCGACCCATCTCAAAAATCGCATATTTAGTCGGAGAAATAGTGAACTACAATTAGCAAGGCAGAGATTCCGGCCAGCTCCGTTGCGAGTCCATTACCCCTAGTCTCATGGCGAGGCAGAGAGCACGTGCCCGTTGTTTATCAGGCGCCACGGCCCCGTCCGGCCCTATCCACGGGAACCCCCACAGGGGCCCGCACACTGGACCAGAAGACCGGCGCCGGCGGCCAAAGCTCTAGACGCGGTTTGAGTTCTAGAGTCGCTAAACAGGACTCGAACTGAGGATATGACCCCACCAATGGGTTCCTCGTTCGGAGGGTGGTCTCACGTTCGGTTCGAGCTTCGTTTAGCGACCATGGAGTTCAAAACGCGTCCGGGAATTTGTCCGCCTCCTCCGGTCTTCTGGCCACTGTACCCCGGACAGAAGCAGCGGCGAGGAGGGCACGCCTTTGGCACTCGACCCTTGGGGCCGGCACGCACAGGGCGTCGCACCCCTGCCGAAAAGAGATTCGAGAAAGGCGTGCCATAAACAGTGCGCGAGCTACTGATAGTCTGCGCCGATGAGGCTGATGGGATAGAAGGAATAATGATGAGCTCGTTATCTGAGCTGAGGCGGCAACGGCCTGTCGGTATCGGGGACCGAGGAACCGCGAACTGCGTGCGCACAATTGCTAGTGGCGCAGCAAGCAGGGGCGGATCCTGAGGCGGGTTAAGAGGGCAGACAAAAGTTTCCAACTTCCAGACACGAAGTGCGACGTTTTGCCTGCCTTTCCTTCTTGGTGGCTTTAGTACCTTTAGAGTCGACGCCCCCAGCGCCCCTTCCCTCCCCCCGATGCGCACCTGGCAGCAGGGCGCACTGATCCCTGATCACTTCCTTCCCGCCAACCGCCCTGGTTGTTCGAGCCCCACCACACCGTCGCTGACTCGGGGGTTCCCCGTTCCCCGGCTCGGCGGCCACCGGCGGCCCGACCAGAGGACCAGAGCGCCTGCCAACCGGGCGTAGGCAACGCGCCGACACGCGGGCGTTGTATTGCCTAGCTGCAAGGCGCTCCCCAACCAGAGGACCAGAGCGCCTGCCAACCGGGCGTAGGCAACGCGCCGACACGCGGGCGTTGTATTGCCTAGCTGCAAGGCGCTCCCCAACCAGAGGACCAGAGCGCCTGCCAACCGGGCGTAGGCAACCCGCCGACACGCGGGCGTTGTATTGCCTAGCTGCAAGGCGCTCCCCAACCAGAGGACCAGAGCGCCTGCCAACCGGGCGTAGGCAACCCGTCGACACGCGGGTGTTGTATTGCCTAGCTGCAAGGCGCTCCCCAACCAGAGGACCAGAGCGCCTGCCAACCGGGCGTAGGCAACCCGCCGACACGCGGGCGTTGTATTGCCTAGCTGCAAGGCGCTCCCCAACCAGAGGACCAGAGCGCCTGCCAACCGGGCGTAGGCAACCCGCCGACACGCGGGCGTTGTATTGCCTAGCTGCAAGGCGCTCCCCAACCAGAGGACCAGAGCGCCTGCCAACCGGGCGTAGGCAACCCGCCGACACGCGGGCGTTGTATTGCCTAGCCGCAAGGCGCTCCACCGGGGCTCTTCACCCAGCTCCGCGAGGGCGGGCGGCGGGCTGTGCGCTCCGTCGCCGTCGGCAGCCCAACGCAGCGCGCTGCGCGTTGGGTGGCCTGCCTGTCGGCATGCCTGCCGCGCCGCGCCCAGATTGGCGACGCGGCTCCGCGACCCGCGCAGCGAAAGGTGAGGTGAGGATGAAGGCAGGATGAAGGCAGGATGGTCTAATCAGGAGCCGCACTCTAGCCTGAAGCAGGCCGAGATAAAATTGGTTAATAGAGGCGGCGGGCGGCGGGCGGCGCGGTCGCGTTTGTTGTTGTGAACGCGGCGCCCCTCCTCGACGCATTCACCGGGACGCCGCGAGAACGCCAACATGACCGCCAAGGCCACCAGCGACGCCGAGCACGCCGTCGACCTGACCGCGCGCGGCGGCGACACCCTGACGGACAAGGGCGGCGGCGAGCACCACGCCGTCAAACACCCCACCTCGTAAGACAGCGGCCAGCCGACGACCGCCGCCTCGCTGACGGACTCTACCATGCTGGCTCTGCGCCACTCTGCGCAGGTACTTCGACACGCTGGTGCACCTGGTGAAGGGCAGCGTGGGCTCGGGGATGTTCGCCATGGGGGACGCGTTCCGCAACGCCGGGCTGCTGGCCGCGCTGCCGCTCACCCTGCTCGTCGGCACGGCCTGCGTCTATGCGCAGCACCAGCTGGTGAGCCGCCAGCACTCCAACCAGGGCGGGGCGGCGCACACGCCGGCGGCACCCAACTCACTGTTGCTCTCCGCCGCCAGATCACCACGGCCGAGGTGCTGTCGCTGCGGCTGGGCATGAAGCACCCCCCGGACTACGCCGAGACGGCCGAGCTCACGTTCCGCGCGGGGCCGGGCTACTTCCCGCGGGTGGCGACCATCGCCCGCAGGCTGGTCAACCTGTTCATCATCATGACCCAGCTGGGCTTCTGCTGCGTGTACTTCGTGTTCGTGGCCACCAACATTCGGCAGGCACGGCACAACCAAAGCGGACTGGCCACACCCGTTCAGGCAGAGCGGCTGGGCGTAATTTCCCCCTCCGGTTGCAGGTCCTGAACCAGCACATCGTGGCCATCGACGTGCACGCGTACATGGCGATGGCGCTCGTGCCCATGCTGCTGCTCAGCCTGGTGCGGAACCTCAAGTACCTGGCGCCCGTGTCGCTCGCCTCCAACGTCGTCATGTGCGCGGGTAAAGTATTTATTGGCTTCAAAACAGGCACTCGAGTGCCACTCGCACGTGGTCCAACACTGCGGCGCGCCACCCATGCTGTCCATGCCGAGGCCGGGCCGATTAGTGTCAATCGGTCGAGGAACAAAATCATCGCAGTTAGCGGTACGATAGTCGATTATCGAAAACACATACGATTAATCGAAATAGCTAAGATTTACGATATCTTCTAGTTAGAAGATAATCGATGATCGGTTATTGTTTGATGATCGATCGAACCTACGATCACCGTACCGCCTATCGGCTAGTTGAAATAGTCGTTCGATTAACACTATAACCGCGATTATTTTCGATTCGTCGATTAATCGCCCTCCCTGCAGGCGTCGCGGTGACGCTGTACGAGTGCGCCAAGGACGGGCTGCCGCCGCTGTCGGAGCGCCGCCTGGTGGCCGAGTGGCAGCGCTGGCCGCTCTTCTTCGGCACCGTCGTCTACAGCTTCGAGTCCATCTGCATCGTAAGCAGCGTAGCCGAGAGGGCCACACTTCCCTCGATGCACCAGTGTCGAAAGGGTTGCCAACCTCAGTATGCAAATTATCTGGGCTTTGGCATCGAGGGCTGAGGTTGGCAACCCTTTCGACACTTGTGCACCTCGGGCAGTGTCGCTGACTTTTGCTCCAGCACAGATAGTAAGTCCATGCCTGCGGTTTTCAACGGTTTTCAACCTGCCCAGGTGATGCCCCTGCGGAACGAGATGAAGAACCCGCGCGACTTCTCGCGGCCGCTGGGCGTCATGAACGTCGGCTCCGTGTTCATCGGCGTGCTGCTGGTGTCGCTGGGCAGCGTGGGCTACCTCAAGTTTGGCGACGCCGTCAAGGGCTCGCTCACCCTCAACCTGGAGCAGACCAGCGTGTAAGCACTCGCCCTTTACGAAACACAGTAAACACTGGGTGTTTATGTACTTTCATAGTCCATGAGTATTGACCTATGTGCAGCTGTAAGCTATACACAAATTTGTTCATAAATTAGGGACAACATTGCCGTATTGTGTGTAAATATTTATAAAATTGTACATAATCTAAGCAGAAATTAGAAACAAAAAGTGGAAGCATTTGGAGAGTACAAGACGTGTACTAAATCCCTAAGATCCGAGCCGCTTGCTTGCAGCTTGTGCCAGGTGCTGCGGGTGAGCCTGTGCCTGGGCATCATGGGCACCTACCCGCTGCAGGCCTACGTGCCCATCGAGATCCTGTGGCCCTCCATCGAGCGTCGCTTCAGGCCACTGCGCCACCCCGCCCTGGCTGAGCTGGCCCTGCGCGCCTGCGTGGTCCTCTTCACGTGTAAGTTCAGTTCAAAATTAAAAGAAAAAAGTCTGGCCGTCGGTTTTTTGTGCGGGATCAACGGCCTCATGTTTTTAAAATTTTTGCAACGAGTGCGCAAGAAGAAAGTGAACGCACCTCGCTGACTGGTGACTCCCGCCTTTCTGCTGCAGTCCTACTGGCGGAGTCCATCCCGCGCCTCAACCTGTTCATCTCGCTGGTGGGGGCCTTGTCGTCCAGCGCGCTGGCCTTCGTGTTCCCGCCGCTGCTGGACTGGGCGTGGCGGTGGCACGGCGACCCAAAGCTGTCGCTCCGCACGCACATCACCAACGCCGTCATCCTGGCCGTGGGGCTGCTCGTCACGGGCTGGGGCACCTACGCCGCGCTCAAGGACATCATCGAGGCCCTGGCCACGGGCATCGACGACGACAGCAGCTGAGCCAGCGGTACGCTGCACATTGGGCCAGAGCCAGAAGAACGGTGGAGGCGGTCAAAAATCCCGGATGGATTTTGAGCTCCAGAGTCGCTAAATGGGACTCGAACAGCACGTGTGACCCCTCCAATGGATTGCTCTCAGAACGAGGAATCCATTGGTGGGGTCACACGTTTAGTTCGAGCCACATTAAGCGACTCTAGAGCTCAAAACGCGTCTAGAGTTTTAGCCGCCTGCTTTGGTCTTCTGGCCCACTGTGCGCTGTGGGATTAGTCACCGGTTGTCGTTGCAGGGTGATGAACCCGCACGGGTAACACCGCCCGACTCCTTGTCGCGAGTCCCGAAATCCACGGGTCTTGATTTATCGAGTTTGCCGTTCTGCGGGGCTCTCGGATTTTCATCGCGATAAATTATGAATTTCGTCCGGCGCGCCCTGCGCCGTTGGCAACCGTATGACACACCGGGCCGGGGGTCTTGGCTTGGGGCTTCGGGCAGCTCCAGCGTCTCGGGGTCCCAGACTGCTCGTCGCGCCGTCCGCGGCGCGCTGCCCACTCTAGGCGGTCTAACCGGACGGGTCGGTCGCCGTTCTCATAATCACCGCCAAATAAAAGAAAAACCAAGTGCTCGATTTTCTCGGACGGTGACAAAAGGCCAAAAGCCGAGGCAAATTGATGCCCTCTATATTTTTTGTGCTTTACCCGCGGGACCGACCTGGTGATAGCTGCGCCTCTTTTTCGGCGAAGCGGCACGGCACGGCACGGCACGGCCCATTACGGAAGTTTTATGGCTGTCATTATTTACTGTGCTTCTAGCAAAAGCCAGCCCAGCGGAAGGTGCCAACTTAATATTTAGCGCGAAACACGATACGTCTCACTGCGAAACGAGTTGCGGTTTTCACAGTGTACCGCACGGGCGTATCTCCGCGGTCCGACCAGCTCGGGCTTGGGCTCTGGGACCTCGCTCTCATAATGACGGTTCACGATATTGTGCCAAATCGTCCGTCTCATCTCTTTCCCACGGTGACAATATTTTTAAGGCTATCTGCGCGTCGCTCGGGGAGCAGCCTTTCAGTTGCGTAACACACTTCCGAACGGCGTGGTCGTTGGAAGGCTGCTGGATTTTGTTCTTGTCCTGCCGGCCGCAGATTACTCCAACTACGAGGCCCGGCCGGCCCGGCCCAAGGTCGCGCCAGAGAGGCTCGCGAGACGAGAGGCATCAAGACTCGAAGCCGATCAAACGCCGGTGCTGGAAAATCTCACCAGTTTTCTGGAAAAACAAAACCGGCCCGTGATTGCCGCTCCGCGCCGCAGCGCTGCGGCACTTTGGCCGCGCGTCGGCCTGGCGTCTGGCGTCTGGCGGCGGCGGCGAGTCGACTCCAAGTTCAACTCGGCGCATTGCCGCTCTTGCCTGCAGTCTCCACGTGGCCGTCGACATGGAAAGTTGGCTGCGGCCGCTCCGCGTTCGTTGGGTGACCTGAACGCACCCCGGCCAGTGCGGGCAGTCCGGCAGTGCAACGAACCCAGGCCCTGCGGGGCGCGACCAGGGAAGGCCTGGGGCCGTCGCGGCCGTCTTGGCGGGGCGGCCAACTCCACCCGCCGCGCCACCGCCCCCCACTCCACCCCGCGCCGGGCAGGGGCATCTACATACACCGCGGCCCGGCCGCCCTGCGTCCAGTCACCCGGCAGCCAGCCTCCAGTCCGGTCCAGCGCGCCGCTCCGCTCGAGATGCTGCTCCTCCTCGCCGTGGCGCTGGCCTGCGCCGCCGACCTGGCCGCCGCCAAGGTGTACGACCGGTGCGAGCTGGCCCGCGAGCTGGCCCAGCGGCACGGCGTGCCCGCCGACGAGGTGCCCGTCTGGGTGTGCATCGCCCGCCACGAGTCCGAGTTCAACACGACGGCCGTCGGGCACGTCGGCGAGGGCGGCGACCACGGCCTGTTCCAGGTGTCGGACATCTACTGGTGCTCGCACTCGGGCCGCGGCAAGGCGTGCGGCATGGCCTGCGCCGAGCTGCTGGACGACGACATCTCCGACGACGTCGCGTGCGTCAAGAAGATCCACCGCGAGCACCAGGGGCTGACGGGCAACGGCTTCAACGCGTGGGCCGTGTACTCGCGCTACTGCAAGAGCCCCGAGCGCGCCGCCAAGTACGTGGACGGTTGCTTCGGCGGCACCGGCAACGAGATCGCGCCGCAGGCCTTCTACGGGCTGCCACCGCCCGCCATCACCGCGCCGCCGCCCCCCGTCAGGCGCCGGCCGCACCCCGCCGCCACCCCTGCACCGCCACCCGCCGTCGTGGCCGCCCGCTCTTACGGCCTGCCGCCCGCGACGCCGCGCCCCATCGCCAGGTGGAGCGCTCCGCCCCCCGCCCCCGCCTTCAGGCCCTTCGCCGCCCCCGCCCTCTCCAGGTCCTTCGGCCCCGCCGCCGCCCCCGCCTTCTCGAGGTCCTTCTTCACCGCCACGCCGGCTCCCCAGCGGCCCGCGGCGGACCCGAGCCACTTCTGGAACTGGCAGCGCTTGCCGACGCGGCGCTGGTTCTGAGCGACGAGCGATGCGACGCGCGAGACGGTGCGTCGCGACGCTCTGCCACGCGCGCAGCGCGAATCGTGATTGGTGCTAAAAGACTTTCCGTCACTCCGGCGTCACGGAGTACGTACGGCAGCGCGCCGGTCTGCAGGTCGCTCCTTTGTGATAACTGATAACCCCAAGCACTTGCGACTCCACCTGCCGTACTCTCTTGTATTTTATTATGTCCTGTATCAGGAAACTGACTGTCGCGCGCTTTAGCGCGCATGTGTGTATGTGTGTGCATGCGTGTGTGAGTGAGTGTGTGTGAGCGTGGTCGCAGCAAAGCTGCCTTGCTGCTGCTTGCGAGTGACTCGAATGATTAATTAAACGGTCGTAGTGCCCGCTGTTGTTGTTGATGATGTTGTTTTATGCGGTTCGTACAACATGGACCGGTTGGCTAATCAAGGACTCACGTCAAAACGCGCACCGCGTCCTGTCCGTCCTGCACGCCGACTGAGGCCGAGGCGATGAAGCCACCGCCCTTCCATTCGTGTGGAACAAAGAAATGTGCCAATAAATTATTGTTTTGTATATTTAAAAAAAGACAGTCGTCTCTGCTTCGTTTATTTTCCTAAAACAAAAAGGACACATCCCAACACAGAAATACTACTATACACTTATATATTTATTTCTCACAGTTAAAAGTTTATAATAATCTCGAGGGAGAACATTGAGCAAATTGTTTCAAAACAAGTCAGTCAAAAAGATACGTATGAATGACAGGCAGGTGGGTGGGACTTTGTGGACTGCTCAGCCGAGGGGCCGGATTTGAGATTGCAAGCTGTTGTTGACCAGCTTATGGTTTTGTTTGCTCGGTAGCTGCGAAGCACTCGAAGCGTGCGGACGCAACAGGCGACGCTATCTTAGATAATATAGTTCACCTATCACAATGGAAAGTTGGTTGCAACGCTATATATGGTATCTAAATTAATTTCAGTACGGCACCACGTAAATACTACAAGAGACAACGATGAATCATTTCTAGTTCGAAGTTGTACATCCTCTTTGAGACAACGCATACAAACGATCTTACAGAGTGGTTGAGCATTTCGTTACACAATAAAAGTAATGGTAAAATAGAGTCGGTTTTCCGCATATTGACATATTTCCATGGCACATGGGTCAATGTAATAAAATATCCGTTAGGTTTTCGCCTTTTTCAAAGTAACATGGCGAGAGTCAATAAAGTTTTAGTCTTGAACAATGCGAGAAAAATCGGATGAACAGTCGCTTTCACAGTTTTTCATCTCCTCAGAAGGCATATCACATATCTGACAAAGTAAAAGAGCGTTGAAGCCGTACAAGCCGCACACGTAGCTTGACCAACCTTGACGGAGATTGAGGAAACGGGGAATGGGTCCGTTCCTGAACTCCGCACCCAGCCCAGCGGGCCCGGCGGCGGTCGTACGTGGTCCGGAAATTGATACGCGGACGGAGCTCCTTCCAGAGAGAAAAGGAAGACTGACTACTGCTGAAATGAATGTCCCAGCTGGCGAAAAACGCGCACTTAGACTAAATCACAGACCTTTGCTTAACGCGCCTCGGGGCGCGGGGCGCCTCCCAGGCCACGTTTTACCCTGTTGGTTGCCCGGGCCGTTGCACGTGCCCGTCGCAGTTCGTCGGGGAGGGTACGGCCGGCGTCGAGGCTTCGGAGGAGAGCCGCCTCGGGCCGACAAGGCCCCGGCGACGAGGCGGAGTCCCCCACGGACTCGCGGACCTCAAACGCTGGACGGCGGCGTCCTAGGCGTTGCCGTTGGCGCTGCCGTTGACGCCGGCCTGCAACTTGGTCTCCGCCATGTCGCCGACGGCGCCGTTCGGGGCGGCGTGCGGGCCGGGGGCCATCAGCCCCACGTCGCCGGCGGCGCTCGTGGCGCGGTCGGACGGCCTGCGGTCAAATCAGCGCGAGATGAACATCAAAAGCCACCCACCCACAACACCGGCAGCCTGCCCGCCTGCCAGCCTTCCACGAAGATCGCGGGTCAATCGACGGGGATGTGGTGGCCGCGGACCACCGCGGAGCCGTCGACACGCCCCCGGGCACCGCGCCAGCCGCGCCAGCCGCCGAGCACAAACACGGGGTAGGCGGAGTGCGCGATGCTGGCGGTGCTGGCGATGCGCGACGCGACGGGGACGTTGGCGGCGGTTGGCGGCCGCTGCCCTCACCTCTGTGGCGCCTCCGGGGACTGCGGCCGGACCGCGGAGGGCGACCGCCGGACGCGGTAGTACATGACCGCGCCCACGAGGAACAGCAGCAGGCCCAGCGACAGCAGGGTGTACTTGACGGCGTCCAGGATGGTCAGCTTGCTGAAGAGCAGCCCGTTCAGCAGGTCCACCATGGGCGTGTTGAGCGCCGCGCCCTGTTGGAAGCCAGGGAAGCGTTAGTCCACAAGTGGACGAGAGCGTGGGTTCGAGTCCGGGCCGCGTCCCACAGTGGGCCAGAACCCGGCGCAGGCGGCCAAAATTCTAGACGCGTTTTGAGCTCTAGAGTCGCTAAACAGGACTCGAACCGAACGTGTGACCCCACCAATGGATTCCTCGTCCTGAGAGCAATCCATTGGTGGGGTCACACGTTCGGTTCGAGTCCCATTTAGCGACTCTAGAGCTCAAAACGCGTCTAGAATTTCGGCCAGCTGCGCCGGTTTCTGGCCCACTGTGCGTCGCACCGCCTTGGCGCTTACCTCGTACATCCAGGCCACGGGGAACAGCGTGGGGCGCACCCCCTTGGTCAATTCGAAGCCCTCCACCTGCCGCACCATCCAGTTGAGCTGCATTTTCTTACCGCCGTGCAGCGGCGTGCCCGTCATCTGGGGGAAGAAACGCGTTCGAATAGAGGGAAAACCGAGAGGCAGGCGTTGCCCCTGTAACTAGGCAACTATTGTCCCTTCTGGACCCCTCCAGGAGGAGGACGGCACCCACCGGTTCAATGTCCAGCTGCATTCGGTGCAATTCCGCCTGCGGGTTGAGGCCCTCCACGCCGTCCAGGTACGACGGGTCGGACTCGTAGAAGTGGGGGTACGTGACGATGATGGGGATGCCTGCGAAAGAGAGAGACGGAAATGGAATCCAAATCCAACAAAGACGGCACAGTTGGTTTCGCTCGCCCCCATGTGGTAGCAGTGTAGTTACCCTGGCAGCCGGACAGGTCGAGGGCGCCCTTCTTGAGGCAGCCGTTCTCCTTGGTGAGCCCGCGCGCCACTTGCGGGCAGAAGCAGTAGTTGTTGCCGTTGTCCGCGGCGCTGGCCATCACTTCCGAGCCGGGCGCGAAGCGGTAGCCAGGGATGCCGCGGTAGCTGGCGTCCTCCAGGTACTTGAGGGTCATGGACCTGCACACCAGCACCGCAGTCAGAGCACGTCTCACAGACCGACGCCGCCGTGCGGTCGGCCCGGCCCACCCCGCACCTGCAGATGTCCGTGGAGAAGACGCTGATGGTGCTGGTCTTCTCGATGTAGGGGCTGAAGATGTCGCCCTGGGTGCCGTTGACGGCGTTGCACGTCGGTCCTCCCCACGCCGTCGTGGTCGCCTTGCCGTTCCAGGCCGTGATCTGCGCGATCTCCTCCGGCTGGGTGATGCCGGATTTGACGGTGTACTCGCCGTCGGCCGTGTTGTTTTTCTGGAACAGACTCAGCGTCAGCAGCGTCAGCGTCGGCCACTACCCGCCGCACAGTGGGCCAGAAGTCCGGTGGAGGCTGTCAGAATTCCGGACCCGTTTTGAGCTCTAGAGTCTCTAAATGGGAGTCGAACCGAGCGTGTGATCCCACCTATGGATTGCTGTCCGAACGAGGAATCCATTGGTGGGGTCACACACTCGGTTCGAGTCCTGTTTAGCGACTCTGGAGCTCAAAACGCGTGTAGGGTTTTGGCCGCCGCCGCTTTTCTGGCCCACCGTGCGCCGACAGGGCAGCTCGCAGTGCCTCCGCCTCTCACTTACATAGCCGAAGAGGGAGAAGGAGACGTCCCCGTTGTCCAGCACATTCATGGTGGGCACCTTGATGTGCTTGAAGGAGGAGCAGGTGATGAGCGCGGCGAGGCGGGGCTTCAAGGAGGGCGCGTTGGCGTTGCGCTGCCACTTCCCGGCCGCCAGGTTGGCGATGGGGTTCTGCGCCGCCATGCTGAAGGCGGGGCTGTCCGCGTCCGAGCCCGACCCCAGCTTGCCGCACGCGATGTGCACGCCGCCGAACAGCAGCGCGCCGGCCGTGGTCGTCAGGAAGATGCCGTCCGGGAACAGCAGGGGCGCGGCGGCGTCCACGAACATGGTGCCCTTGGCCAGCACGGGGATGTTCGTCATGATGTTGATCATGCTCTGCGGCGAGCGGGAAGGGAGGGAGGTCAGTGGTTGGTGCGCCCGCGGGGTAGGCAACCCATCCGGCTTGGCGCGCGGAACGGTGGCCTGCCTCCGGGCGTGCGTCCCGTGCGTCGCCGTCGCGGTCACGGCCTTGCCGGCCTTGCCGCGGCCGCGCTGTCTCTTTCTGTCTCTCCCTCTCTCTCTGTTTCCCACGCCGTGCCCCGCCGGTGACGCGCCGTGTCGCACCGTTCGCACGTCGGCACCAATTGTTTTGTGGCCCGCCGTTCGGTTCGGAAGAGTTGTTTCGCTGCTCTGTCTCTGTCGCACTTATGCAGTTCTCCATTAAGGTGCGAGAGAGACAGAGCGACGTCTAGGGCCCGAGGGCCTGACTCACCATGAGCGCGGGGTGGATCGTCGTGACCACGTCGTCCTCTTTGAACGGCGCGGACTGCTCCGCGTCGAACGTGTGGATGAGGATCTGGCGGTACGTCCAGGTGTCGGCCTCCTCGTCGTACTTGATGTTCACCTTGTGGCGGTGCTGCCTGCAGGCATGCGGAGCGCGCAGGTCCGTCAGTTCAACTTCCGCAGTGGCGGTCCAGAGCCGGCCTCAGGGGAGACGACAAAGTACCGCTTTTTGTCTACTTCGGGGGCAAAGCATTGCGCTTTCAGGCGGCTATCTTGGGGTCAAAGTGGCCGACCAATCCCTTGCCCCCTCGCTCCCTCGGATCCGCGTTTGGTCTACTCACTTGTACACGTAGGGCCCAAGTTCCTGCAGTTTCGGCTTGGCGCCCCTCATGATCTCCTCCTTGTTGGTCACGTTGAAGATGGACAGCTTCAGGTCGAGGTCGATGGGCAGGGTCACCCAGCGGTCATACGCGTCCGAGCCATCCTTGAGCGCCAGTTCCTGCCCGAGTCACACAAAAGCATGATTGAGACCGCGTTGTAGGTTGTAGGACAAGGAAAGTGGTGGTGAGAGTCCCCGCCCCCTTCCCCGCCCCCCTCCCGCCCCTTCCCTCAGGGCCAGCCTTCTGCCTTGTGCAAGCTTCAACGGATCGCTGCTCGGCGGGAGCAGCTGGCTCATTCCGAACTCTGCTTTCGTCGCTCTGTCTCTCTCGCACTCATGCGGCGTTCCGTGTGGGTGCGAGAGGGACAGCGCGACAAAACGCTTCGCGGAATCGCTCTGTAGGCAGAGGCCGCTCCTGACCATGACACTCGTGCAATCTCTTTAGTGTTTGTCCGACACATTGCCCTTTTGACACGAGCTCAATAATTATGTTCTAATCAAAACGAAGGCGGCGCCCGGGCTTCCTTTTATTCTGGCTGCTTTGGCCGGCCCGGCTCGAAGCGCGCCAGAACAAATAACAATAACAATAATCAATTTAGAAAAAGAGGCGACAAGAGGTTTTTTGCTTATCATATCAGTAAACAGCGCATGTAAGGCACGATTTTTATCCGCGCGTGGCTCAGCTGGTCTTGTCCATGGCGGCAGCGGCAGATGTGAATGGAATCACTCATTGGGCTTCCTGGGAATGCCGTCTGGTTCCGGCACAGCCAATCACACGTCACTGCGTGCTGCTCGCCCACTCACAGGACGTCTCAGAGGCTTCAGCTTGAGGGGCTTGATGACGGCGAGGACGAGTGGGTATGCCGGAGGACTTTGCCCGCGGGCCCGTGCCGTGCCGTGGTGCGGCGTGCCTCCTGCCCGACATTGTCCCGAACGATCTCCCACGTTTTGTACACTGTATCCATGAGGGCTTATCTCTCTCCACAGGTGTGCCTGATACGCAGCAGCGGCTTCTGCGGTTTTTTTTTGCACGCCAACCCGAGCCGTGCGCGCGCGCGCCGTGGCCGTGCAGGTCATGGTTGTGAACGACCCCACCTGCATCCAAACATATGACTCACTCAGCGGACCCTCCCCACCGCATCCCGGGGGCATCAACCAGCACCTTGACGGCGTCCTGGTGTCGCCCCATCCCGGTGTCGTCCAGGCGGCATCCTCGCCCAGGTGCCTGGCTTTGGCTCGGCGGTGATGACACTGATAAACACCTGCATCGCCGTCTCGCCGCCTTGCACCGCGCACGTGGGCGTCGCGGGGCACTCCTCGGAGGCGCGCGGGGTCGCCGTCATCGCGCCTCTGCCAAACGGTGGCAAAAAATCGGGCGAGAGGCAAAATGGCAGAGTGTTTGCCGAGTATAATGGGCGCGCCTCGCCTCGCCTCGTCGGGAGTATCGTTTGCGTCATCGCCGTGCTCGAGGGCCTCCGGTGGCGGCGGCTCCCGAGGCCCGCGTCGCTGTCGCACTGTCGCCGAGTAGTGTACCCCGGTCGCTTCAACTAGACCACGTCCTCGCGCATGCCGCTTGTACGAGTTCACCGTGCCGGCCACGGACTCCTGGTTGGCAACGGCTCAAAATCGTTAGAGCGTCTCCTTGCAAGGCTGGTTCAAGTTCAAAGTCAGGACAGCGGTGCACACAGATTGTTCCAGAGACACCCATGAGGAGGCCCACGGCCTGGCCGCCCAGGACACGACCTGGCCGCGCTGCTCGTCGTGCCGGACAGGCCGCGTGCGTGCCGACAGCCCAAATGGCGGCACTCAGAGCAAACGACACCGACAAGAAGACGTCCCCCAGCAGGCTGATTCCGCACAGCGCTCCGTCGCTCTGTCTCTCTCGCACCCTCACGGGAAGGCCCGGGAGTGCGAGAGAGACAGCCTGCCGCCCGGCCGCGCACAGTGGGCCAGAAGACCGGTGGAGGCGGCCAAAACTCTGGACGCGTTTTGAGCTCCGAAGTCGCTAAATGGGCCTCGAACCGAACGTGTGACCCCACCAATGGATTCCTCGATCGGAGAGCAATCCATTGGTCGGGTCACACGTTCGATTCGGGTCCTGTTTAGCGACTCTGGAGCTCAAAACGCGTCTAGAGTTTTGGCCGCCTCCACCGGTTTTCTGGCCCACTGTGCCGCGCCCGGCGCATCCAGAGAGAGGCCCGCGGCACGCGTCATCATTTCGCCGGCGTTCATTCTGGCCCGACAGCGGCATGGCGATTTCAGCGTGGCGACAAGGCGCTCCTGCACTGCGCCGTTGGCAGCCCGGCCCGGCGCGGTCGGGAATGCATCTTTCATATTGCGCGTTGTCATCCGAGTCGCGAGTGATTCTGCGAGGCCGGCGTTAAGGCCGGTCGCAGGCTCCATACAAAGTCGGTGGCGTGACCCCTTACCGCTGGTTTATCGATGAACCAGCACTGAGAATCCAAACGCTATGAGTATAGCGTCCATTGGTGCAATACAAAAGCATTGCACATGAAGTGCAATGCCTCCCCATTCCCATGCATTAGCATAGGGCATTTTCGGGATGCATTGCACGTATGGTGCGATATCTTAGCTGTATTGCACCATACGTCCTATACTCATAGCGTTCGGAATCTCAGTGAGGAGCCTGCTCCACGCAAAGTCAGTGGCGTTACCCTTTGCCTGGTTTATCGATTTACCAGGAGCCTGCTCCTGCTCCTATCTTGACCGCTTGACCGTCCGCAAGATTACCTGATAATTTGTACATAAACGTGTTGTTGTTGTGCGACGGTGGTGGCAGTGCTGCCGCGGCAAACACCGCGTGACTCACCGCCACACCGAGGGGGTATGCACTCGCGTAATAGTCGGTTCACTCTATCTGTAATAGCACGCGTAATAATTCGCGTAATAGTCGCGTAATAGCCGAAATTGTCAAAATTTTATCAATTTTGGTGTGTTTTAGGCCGTTTTTAGCTAAATTCCGATTAATTTGTGGCGTAATAGAGCGTAATAGCGTAATAGTCGGTACACAGGTTCAGAGAGCGCATACCCCCTCGCGCCACACCGTGCTACCCTGCAGTGCAGACAGTGCAAGCAGTGTAGGCACAGGGCGGCCTGGTGCTCCATACTAATGCACTCCTTTACCGCCGCCAAGCACGCCGGCCGGCGCGTGGACACATCCGAAGGCGACCGGCGACGTGAGCCCCGGATCCTGATTCCGAACAGTTGCCTCGTCGCGCTGCCTATCTCTCTCTCGGCCGTACGGGCCGCCCCACGAGTGCGAGGGAGACCTCTCCGTTCGGAATCACTCTGCTGGAGTAACGACTGCTGCAGCCTTTGCTTTCATTAGGGTCAGCACGCGCGGCTCGCGGCCTGGAGGCCCTGGAGGCCCTGGAGGCCTCGGACTCGGACCAGCTCGGCCTTCCCTGCGGGACACCCAGTGGCGGATCCAGAGCTGACGGGGAAGGGGGTGGCAAAGACGTACTTCTTGCCAACCATTCAGGTGGTCATCCAGGGGCAAAAAGGACCGCCCCCACTTGTCGTGCTTTCGCTGAAGATTCTCGACTCGATGTCGCTTGAACCCCGAAAGCAGCCATCACCACCATCCATGAGGCCGTCTCGAATCATTGCCCGAGTGACATCATGAGGCAGGACTGCACTCTGCATGTGGGCCGGCCTGATTCGAAGAGTCCTTTTCGTCGCTCCGTCTCTCTCGCGCCTTTACGGTACGCCCCAGGAGTGCGAGAGAGACAGAGCGACGAGAACGGCTCTCTGAATCAGGCCGCTGCAGCGCGTGCTATGCTGCCGGCGGCAATGACCGCGCACCGCGCCGCACGGCTGCCGCGGCACCTCGCCTTGTTCCGCCTTCGACGACTCAAACGGTGCCGCCAAGCCGCCGCACTGTGCGCAGTCGCGCTTTCAGATTATTCGCAGTCGCGCTCATGGCATGGAGACATGGAGCAGCCGAGTCCACTGCTGGTCCTCTCTGGCCGGAGAGGGTCAATGGAATGTTTCGAAACTTTCGGGGGCGTTCTTGGCCAGGCAACAGGCGCCGCCGCCACCACTCACCTTGCCGATGAGGAGGTGCACGAAGTAGGGGAACGCCACCCAGCCCAGGAGGGCGGCCAGGACGACGAGGAGGACGCCGGCGACGCCGGTCCAGCACCAGCCCCTGGCGGAGAACCGCATGGTGCACGAGAGGCGGTGGACGCGGCGGTGGCGAGGCGGCGCGCGGCGCGGACTGAGCTGGTGGCCGGCTGGACCTGTCCGTCGACGCGGCGCGGCGACGCGGCTACCTTATCATCCCCGATAAGGCCGCCGAGATCGGGAATCGGATCAGGGCGCCGCGCTCGCCCCGGCAGGACACGCCGGCCCCTCGAGGCCCTCGGCGCGAGGCGTCGCAAGGGGCGTCGTCGTGGAGGTGCCGCGGCCGTCCACCGAGGCCATGCTTTGCGACGGCGCCGGCCGGCGAGGGTGGGGGCGGCTTGGGCAGAACGTGAATGGCGGCCGCCCTGCCTGCCCCGGGCCGTCCACCACACTGCACTATCGCGCACCGCGCTGCCGCTGCGCCGCAGCGCCGCAGCCTCCCGGACGATGGTGAGACGGGTCGGCCCCGTCCAAACGCACTGCTGGACCGGCACTGGGAAGTGGCGGTGATGTAGTCGCTTCCGTTCAGACCGGTGTTGCCTTCGCGAGTACTCTCGCGCCTCGCGCGGCGCGTCTTGCACAAACACTCAAACACTTCACTCGCTGCGCACACAGTGTGCCGCACACGCCGGGTCCACGGCGAGTAGAGAGGCCGGCGGGCCGGCGGCGGCCCCGGAGAGAGGGTGTGGACGCGGAGCACGCGGAGCGGACCAACGCGGCCGGTTCCGCCGAACGGACAGAATGCCAAGACCCACCAGAGCAGCGGCCGCGGGCCAGTCGTGTCTCGCGTCTCGCTGACTCACATCATGCAGTGCCTCCTCGTCGCCCCGTCTCTCCGTCTCTCGTCTCTCTCCCTCGCGGCCGGCGATGATTACAGCTGGGTCAGGCGGGCGCGGCGGGGCGGGGCGGGGCGGGGCGCACGCCAACGCCAGTGCACTGGTGACACTGGGCGACACAGGGACACGCGCCGGGAAATAAGAGAAAACGTCTTATCATTTGCCGCGACCGATCTCTCGCCAGCCGCCCCGCCCGCCCTGCCGAGCCACGCACAGCGGCCCCGGGATCGGGTTCACTCGAATCGGGAGCAAGGGCTCGTCGTTGGCGGGGTTGCGGTTCGGCGCGGTGCCCGGTGCGGTGCGTGTGGCCTCGGCAGTGCTCTGATTCCGAGCAGTGCTTCGTCGTTGCACTCATTGGGGTAGTCGGAGGGGTGCGAGTGAGACAGAGCGACGAAACAACTTTTTCGGAATCAGCCGACAACCGTGCGCAGTCGCGGAAACATTCAGGCCGCGAACGAGAGCTAGGGTGTGGATGGAAATGACGCAGCCTTTTGTATTTTCCTTTGTTTCCTCTTTTCTGGTGAGCTGACGACGCGACGCCAATGAACGGAATCCACCTCGCGATGTCCGATGCACACTGGCCGGGCGGGCGGGCGGACCGGACCCCCACGACACTGTACTTCCGCGCCGACGACCGACCGTTGCTCGTAATGTTGATGCTCGGCGAACAAATGCGAGTCTAATTGGTGTGAGGAGCGCGGAGGAGCGCCAGGGGTTATCATCGGCGAGGGCCCAGCAAGGGCGTAATCGCCTGAACGGCGACGAGTGCGGTCCGAGCTGTAAATCTGGCTAATTGCCCCGAGGCAGTCCGCCTCTTCCATGTCTCCGTCGGCAAGCAGTCGGAAGCAGCGTAAGCGACGTCGTCCCGATAGCGACTTTCGGCCTTTAAATATAGATTAAAAACAATCCCCCCCCGAAAACGACGAGCTGCCGGCTCTTTATCGGAACGGAAAGCAAACGGGTCGACCCAACAACCAGCAGGCTGATGCCGGAGTCGTTTTCGTCGCTCAGTCTCTCTCGCACCTCCACGGGATGCTCCACGAGTGCGAGAGAGACAGACCGATTCTCGGGATCAGTCTGCAGCGGCCACACAGCACCGCCTCCACGCTACCCTTCCGTATACCAGCGTTGCAGACGATACTCCGCGCGCGCGTGGACGCTGTTAAGGCGAGGTGTATCGCCGCGCCGCGCCGCGCCCGCCCGGGGTACGTCCCGTCTGCTGCCGGTGCCCGATGGGCTGCCTGCCCGCACGGCGCCGCGGCGTCCCGTCTCGTGTGCGCTGGGGAGCCTGCGGCCAGGAGCAGCGGGCGGCGCACAGTGGGCCAGAAGGCCGGTGGAGGCGGACAAAATCCCGGACGCGTTTTGAGCTTCAGAGTCGCTATATGGGACTCAAACCGAACGTGTGACCCCACCAATGGATTGCTCTCCGGACGAGGAATCCATTGGTGGGGTCACACGTTCGGTTCGTGTCCTGCTCAGCGACTCTGGAGCTCAAAACGCGTCCAGAGTTTTGGCCGCCTCCACCGGTCTTCTGGCCCACTGTGCGGCGCGTGGTCGGTCCGGAGCGGCGAGGTGGAGCGTGGAGCCGAGAGCGCCTAACCAACCGAGGGTAGGCAACCCGCGCGCACGGCGGTTCGACGGGGCGGTGCGCCCGACAGGCGCTCCGCGGCTCCGCCACGCGACGGCGCTGCGCATCGAGACGTCGAGAGAAACAGACAGCGCAGGCAGACCGATTCCGAGAGTCGTTTTCGTCGCTCTGTCTCTCTCGCACTCAGTGGGCGTCCCCTATGGATGCAAGAGAGACAGAGCGATGCTGGCGGCGTGGTCGTCGGCGGCGGTCGAATTCGGCAGAAACGCAGTGGCGACGCGGTGACGCGTCCGCAGCGTCCGCAGTCCTCACCGCCAGCCCGCGTGGCGAAAGCGCTTGGCCGCGACGCCGCGACATCCGGCTGCCGCCCGTCATGGGCATCATCGTGGACGAAAACGCAGTTGGGGTATTCCGCGGCTAAAACGCGCTCCGGCGACGCGAAAAATTGGAACCTCGTCTGCTGGACATCCGGGATGCTACTATTTGATTTATCCACTCCAAGCGGGGAGAGGAGGAGGGGGAGGGGGAGGGGGCCTTCGCTTCCCGGCTCGGATTCATCGCCACGGCGCCCGCCAGCGAAGGACTCCGGCCGAGGTGCCGCCGCCAGGCCTGGAATCTGGAATTAGTGTTCGCCGGAACTCTCGTTAAACATTCTCATTTTTCGAGCCGAGAGAGCCCAGTGACCGAGAGAGACAGAAAGAGAAGCAGAGACGGAGATATTCGCTCCGTGCGGCGTGCCTCGGCGTGCCGTCGTGTCGTGACTCAATGTGCAATAAATGTGCAGGCCACGCCGGTAAGGCTGTAATAAGAATTTGAGCGTCGTTTCAAGGTCATCCTGTTTGCGCGCGAAACAGTGCAGTCCGGATTATGCATACCATAATGCCGACTCTCGCACGCGGTGGCCGCGGCGAACACACACACAGAGGGGAGCGCGCGCGCACACACATGCCGCCTGCTCTTGGCTCTACTGACACCGTGCTCGCGGCGGCGGCGGTGGCGCCGGTGGCAGTATTGGCGTTCGCGGGGTGGCCGGCCGGCCGGCCGGGCTGCGGCTGCGGCCGGGCTTGTGCGCCGTCACGATGGATAGGAAACGTAGCCGTCATGCGCGGACAGCGAAAATCAATTAGAGCCCCACAGCCTTCATCGCGTGCTGCGGTGGCGGCGAGCGAGGCACACCTGCGGTATCGCGAAACGCGCGTAGCGTCGCGCCGGCCGGGATGCCGCCACCACGATGCGCCTCTCCTTTGTGTCGGGGGAGAGCAACGAGTGTGGCGCGCCAAGTACCAACACCAGGCGGTCGCATCGGGTACCACAAATCGGGAGTACATCGTGGACGTCGGACTCCGCGGTCAGATTATGAGGTTCGGAAGCGTGTTCAAGCACCCCGTTGCCGGCAGGGGTGCCGGACCGCCCCATGGACATGACGTCGAGCGTGGTGCCGAGCGTGGTGCCGAGCGTGGCCAGTGGGAGGCGTGGACGCGTGGAGGTGGGGCCGTCTCGCCCGAAGCCGTCGCGGCGGGGCTGCAGTCCAGAACAAAGTAAGACAATCTCCATCGATAATGGGACTTTGAAGACGCGCGGTATGACGACAACGTGCAGGTGTGTCGTGTGTGTATATCTCTCTCTCTGTGTGTGTGTGTGTGTATGTATGTCTGTGTGTCTGTGTGTGTGTGTGTCTGCGCGCGCACGCGCGCGTGTGTGTGTGTGTGTGTAAGTGTGTGTGTGCGCGCGCGACTCGTTGATGACTCGTTTCTTCTCTTTGGTTTTCTCAGACCGCTCGCCAGGGGCGGGGTCCACACGGTCCACACGATCCGCACGAGGAGGCAGTTATTGTCGCCGCGTTAGTTGATCCTTTTCATGAATATGCGAGATTATACGTGCATAATACGAATGCAAATCCGAGTTATCCTTTTCCAGTTTCGCCCGTTATCGTGTGTCGCTGGGAGCGGAGCGGGTCAGGTGCGAAAAGATTGACGGTTTTTCTCATAGATCGTGCCCATTTATTCTTTTTTTGCTGGACTGGTACATCCACGTTACAATGTCTTATCACAATGTTGTAGAGAGAGACGATACAGAGGGTGTAGACGTGCAGAGACAGACAGAGTGACACCGGCACTCCGAGGCAGACACTGTAAAGGACTATGGACACACTCACTTAATATAATATGTCACAATCGGGGAACACACCAAAACTAGTTTTACAATCTCGATGGGCGACACACCGCGAAACTTTTTACAATAGGAAGAAATGATAAATTAATTTACTACGAAATACATCACTCCTGTTGGGCTCGCACAGGTCACTTTTGCGCCAAACCGCACACACACTCACACACACACGCACGCATCCTCGCACACACACACGCTCACGCGCACACACGCACGCAAATCACAAAGAGCTTAACTTAAAACACAATTTACAGTCAAACGCATTACTCTCTAATAGGAATCGATGGATGTGACCAGAGAGGCGATGGAACTACCTCCCCTCTGGTCACAACAAAAAATAAAAAAAAACATACACACAAAAACAAGGCTTCTAGCTCTAGGGTATGTACATACCGCATTCTATGTACACAATTTTGTTTAATACTGTCAAGAGATTTACGAAGAATCTGTAATTTAAATAGGAGGGGGTGGTTACACCCCTGTCATTGTCAACCGCTGCGCAGAACACATTCTTGGGAGGGGAGGGAGGCACTACTGGGTACTACAGTGCATTCGATAGCAGAGCCGGCAGAAGCTAGTGGGCCTTTCTAGCAGCTTCGCAGAGCTTCGCTGAGCTTCGCAGCCTTGGTGGCCTTGGCGGCCTCCGGGCGAGTGCAATGCAGAGCACGGCATCGGGGACCCCGACACCGGCCTGCCCGGCGGCCGCCCAGAGCCAGAAGGACTCGTTAGAGACACGAAACCTAATAATTAGAATAAAATAATACAAAGCGATAAATAAAACAATGAGTGAGATGAAGGGGTTGGTTGGTGATGGTGGTTTTGGTGGTAACTGAGAGGGCCCCGGCCGCGCGCCTAGAAGCCGGCCTTGATCTTGTTGACGGCGTTCTGCAGGTGCATCATCTCGAGGTGCAGCTGGGACATGAGGTTCTCCAGGCCCGCGACGCTGTCCAGGACCTCGACGCACTGCGTGTGTGGGTTGAAGCGCACCTCGTACGGTCGGCTCATGCCGGCCACCCACTTGCGGAACTTCTCCTTGGCGTCCTCGAAGCTCTCCGCCACGTAGTAGATGGGCTGGTACTCCTGGTCCTGGTAGGGCTGCAGCGCGGTGCTGGCGGGCTCGAAGGGCCGGCGCTCGGGCTTGTCCGACACGGCGTGCAGGAGCTCGCCGTACGCGGACAGCAGCCCGGCGCCGTAGGCCTTGACCACGCCACCCTCCTTGCAGAGCCCGAACTCCACCGTGAACCAGTACACTGTGGACAGCTTCTCGATCTCGGCGTCGGAGGCGCCCAGCGAGGCCAGGCCGATCTCCTGGGAGAACTGGGCGAAGCTGGGGTCGGCCAGCAGAGGCATGTGTCCGAGCAGCTCGTGGATGCAGTCCCTGTGGGCAGAGGCGAGAGGCGAGGTTCAAACACCGCGTCGAGAAACTCCACTTTTAAAATTGAGAAGTGATCTGCGAGCGCTCTTTGCCGGAATGAAATCGGCTTATGCCGGGGGAGGTCGCGGGCGTCGCGAGGAGGGAGTGGCTCTATGTTTCAATTTAACAGCGGGCCGTGCCATCACCTCGTCATCAGGCGCGCCAATACGGGCATAACTCAATTGCCCGCGCGAGGGGGACGAGGGGGACGAGGGGGACGAGGGGGAGGGGAGGGAAGTCCCTCGACAGGGGGCGCTGCCGTCCCCGGCCGTCCGGGCGGGGAGGCATCACTCTCTGATCGCCTTATTCAATTACCCGCACCGCGACCTGGGCGGGGCGGGGCAAGGGGCGAGGGGAGAGGGGGCGGGAATCGAGCGTGCGGATTGCAGCAAAATGAAAAGACGAGAGAGAGGTACTTACGGCTCGGGCGTGTGGAAGGGCGACGTGGGGTGGCGCACGTACTGCGTGCTCTGGAAGACGCGGAAGGCGAGCGACGCGAGGAAGTCGCGGGCGGTCAGCAGGCCGGCGGCGGGCCGCAGCGTGAAGCCGGTGTGGCGCTGCAGGAAGTCGGACATGTCCTTGAGCTGGGGAATGGCGCCCTCGCGGAAGATGCCCTCGTCCTGCAGAAGCTGGAACACGCGGTTGTACTCGGCGCACGCGTGCTTGGGCAGCAGGTCCACGACGGTCTTGAACACGGAGGTCCAGGTGGAGATCTCGTCGTCGTTGTAGTCGATGTGCGGGATGGGGTCGCCGTACTTGTAGCTGAAGGCGATGTTGGCGATCTGCTTGCGGCGCTCGCGGTACGCCTTGTCGGCGAAGCCGGGGTGGTTCATGTCCAGCTCGGGCTCGTACTTGGTCATCAGGTGGTTGCAGTTGTCCAGGTCGCGCGCGTGTCGCGGGAACCACGCCTCCTTGGCGTCCACCTTGTTCTCGCTGAGGAGGGTGACGCCGGCGAGAGCGCCGGACTGGCGGAGCGAGCGCAGCAGCTGCAGCAGCGAGGAGCGGGCCATGTCCAGCGTGACCAGGATGTCCAGCTGGCAGCCGGGCGTCTTGGAAGGCCGCGACTCGAGCTGCACGACCGTTCCCTTCAGGTTCTGAAGCAGAGAGCACGCGGGTTAGGACGGACATCGCGTGCGGCGCCGTGCGGCCGGCACTCGGAACACGAGCCCCAGCCAGCCAGCCAGGAAGGAAGCAGGATGCAGCAGCTAGCCAGCCACTCCGGTACTCACCTCCACGGTCTTGAGGATGCGCGACAGAGAGCCGCCGCTCTCACGCAGACGCAGCACCAGGCCGGCCCTCTGCACCGCCGTCTCGGCCTCCTTGTTCTCGGCGGCGGCGTTGGCCAGGAACACCTCCTCCTCGGTCAGGCCGGCGTCTGCACAGAGAAGCATGGTGCAAGGTGTCAGCGCACGGTGTCCGCGAGGTGTCCGCAAGGTGTCAGCGCGGCAGCCCGGCCAGGTGGCGACTGACTCCAGACTCCGCTCCACGTCCGGCGCAGACCGGCAATGCGTCCGGAGCCGTCCGGAGCCCGCACTGCAGCGTGGGGCCTACGTGACCGGACCTGTCAGATGGCCGCCCCGCCACGCGCCGCCACGCGCCGCCACGCCCCGCCCGACCTTGATTTACGCCAACAGGACTATGACTACTTCCACGACTGCAGGCCGTGGCACGCCGAGGCACGCCGCGCCAGGCGGCCTGCCCGTGGCGTGACGTGGAGGTGCCTTGATCTTGGTACTCATTTCGTCGCGGCGGCTCCGCGGCTCGCGTCGCGGCCCTGAGACCCCGCCGTCCCTCCCCGTCGTCCGCGCTTCCGCGATGCGGCGATGCGGCGATGCGCGCACGGGCGTGGCGCGGCTGCCTGGCTGCCTGACTGGCCGGCTGGCCGGCTGGGCTGGCGCAGCCTCCGTTTCGCACGGCAACCGGTTTGTCCAGAGGCGACAAGTGCAGGAGGTGCTTGTGCCGGCCACGCGCCACGCCACGCACCGCGCCGCCGACCGCCGCCGACCTGCTACACGCTACAGGACCTGGTCCCAGGCCCCCGTCCCACCGCCCCCGGGCCCGATACCGACATTAACGTCGTTTTCGCGTCTCATTTCCGGAGGCAGCCATCAGACAGCCAATTAGAAGCCACCCCTGCCGCCCTGCCGCCCGCCGCTCCGGATGGGGTGGCGGCCGCCGCCTGCCGCGTTGCCTCGCCGAGGCCGCAGCGAGGGGGCTGCTTTACGCTTTATTATCGCTCGTCGAGAAAATCCAGCCGAAAATGAAGAAACGCCAACTTTGCTTCTTCGAGGCTTCCAGACCGTGGCTGCCGTGGCCGTGGCGCCGCGCAGGGCTGGGCGGCCAAAGTCAGAGAGCGCAGGAAGGAAGTGGTTAGGGCGGCCGGGCCCGGGCCGTCGTCGGGGCGGCTAGCGGCTAGAGCCTCTGCGACCCTTAACCGCCGCGAGAACAATACGCCGACCCGGGCGGGGCCGCCCTGCGCCCCACGCCCTGCGCGCCACAAGTGGGCCGCCCTAACTTTTCAAAGTCACCCCACAATGGCGGCCCCGCGGCCGGCAGCCCCCGCGACCCCACCCCCTCCCTCTTGACTCCGCTCGGCACGTCGCAAAGGCCGTGGTGGCCGACGACGCCCCACGCCCCGGGGAGGAAACCGCCACGCCACGACGGCCACCTTTTTGCGCGGCAGGCTGCTGTTGCTGCTGCCGGCGGTGCGCGGCGCGGCGCGAGGCGCCCGGAAGGAGCAGCACTAGGCCACCGCGCCGCGCCGGTCGTCATTGACTGCAAACGAGGCATCGACCTCATTGGCCATTCCGCGAAGCAGCGAAGCACCGGAAGGAAGGAAGGAACAGCGAACAACAACAGCACGAGAGCAAGAGAAACAAAAACAGGCGTGGGAACCGTGTCGCACCACAAGGCGAGGAAGGCAGTAATCCTCCTCATGACCATAGCGGGCTGCGTGCGCGCAGGCGGCCAGTCGACGGCCGCCCTGGACGCAGCCCGGGGCCTTGTGCGTGGACGGCGCGAATGGCGACCGGCACCGACGCCGTGGTCGCGCGGCGCGGCGCGGCGATCATCGGACTGCCCCAAATCGGCACTTACCGTTCTCATCGTCATCGCTGAGGGGTGCGGGCTCGTCGTCACTGTCTGAGAGCTCCGTCTGCTGCTGGGCGTCTACACAGGCCAGGCGAACAAAAGAAAAACGCAAAAGTAAGCAAAACTAGGTCTACACTACATCGAGCAAGCAGCAAAACAAAACAAAAATGAAAAGAAGTGCGCCGTCCTCGCCAGTGCTCGCCAGCAGTGCGCGCGTCGCCTCGGGGGAAGGAACTCCAGGCTTGCCGGACTGTGACGTCACGGCCGCGGCGTGACGCGCTGCCTGGCGCTGCCCTCGCGGCTCGCGCCCCTGCCGACCGGCCAATCGGCCAGCCGCAATGGCAAACGCGAGCGCGATCTCGCTGGCGATAGGCGCGGCGCGGCCGACGCGGCACCCCCCTTTCCCCGAGGCCGTGCACGGCCACGCCGCGCGCGCCGCGCCGTCGCACCCAAACGGCTATTTAAGTTGTGCGAGGTCGCGGTGCGGCGCGCCGCGGCGCCGCGCGGGAGTCTTGGCGCCGTGCCTCCGGCGCGCACTTGTAGATCCTCTCCGCGGACGCGGCCACCGCTACAGCGGCGCGGGCGAGAACGGCACAACAAAATAAAAACAGAAAATCGTAAACTAGCGGCATGCAACTCACCGGTGTCGGCGTCGCCGTCGTGAAGGCTCTCGATGGAGCGGGAGCAGTCTTCGACCTCCTCGCCGTCGGAGCCGATTTGTGTGGTGAGTGAGTAGCAATAGTCGCACGGGGTGTCGGCGCCACTGCAGTCTGTGGAAGCAGCCAAGCCATGCACGTCAACTACTGGAGCACTACGTCAAACAGCTGTTACTACACTCTATGGAAAACTACTACTGGAACACACACTGCCTCTGGGCTCTACCTTCTACCCAGCCTCGAACGGCTCTACCGCAACTCAGATAACTAGACTCTAGAACCAATGAACCTACAAGTGGCGCAGGGCCCTTACCGTTGCAGCGTTGGCGAGCCTCCTCGAGCACGCTCTGCTTGGTCTGGCGGACGACCAGCGACTCGAAGCGCGCGTCGTCCACCAGGGAGCGGCGCCTGGAGGGGTAGCCGTTCTGGAACAGAGAGAACGGCGTCGTTAAACCGAGGCTTCGTCATTGTCGTTAATCCCTTTTTAATCGGGCGCTTCGGGGGCGTCGGGGTTTCGCAGTGGCGGAGATCAGTGGCCGAGGGCGTGGCGCGCTGCGCGTGGCGGGTCCTGCAAGGCGTTGCGCGTTGCGCGGCGCAGGGGCGTGCCCGCCAGCCCGCCAGGCGACGACGCGCCGCGCTCCGCCCGCACTTGCCGTGTGGTCTCGTCGCCCTTGAAGCGGCTGCTACATTCCTGTATCATCACCTCCGCGGGACTGCTAATTTTCCAGCGGCCTTCAACCTATCAAACGCATGCGCTCCAGAACTGGCCGCGCCGCGCACAGACCACTCCAGACTCCAGTGGCGGCACGGCATGGCACGGCGTGGCACGGCGCGGTGGTGCGGTAGCAGCCCATTAGCACGCTTTTAGAGCGCCGCCAAGCCGAGCCGAGCAGCGAGGCGAGGTGGCCGAAGGGTTGCCGACGTCCCGGGGGCTGCCCGTAGCCGCAGCTCGGCGGCGCCACGCTCGGCTCGGCCACTCGCTGACGACCTTGCTGGCCTTGCGCGCCGTGAGCCGTGGCGTGGCGTGGTGTGGCTTGCCGTGGCGTGCCATGGCGTGCCACGCCGTGCGCCACGCGGTGGCCGAAGCCATTCCTCTTCCGCTTTCGCTGCCCCATTTCCACTGGGAGTCTCCACACCACGCGGTCCGGCCGGCCACTTCATCATTAAAACATCGCCGATATCGCCCCACCCCCGACCGCCCCCGACCGCCCCCGACCGCCCCGGACCGCCCCCCACACTGTGAGTCCACACCGGGGCTGTCAGCGCCAGGCCTCATTTCCTGCGCCTGCACAAAGCCCAGCCACCCAGCCCCCGCCGGGCCGCGGGGCCGCCGGGGCGCGCACAGTGTACAGTGTACACGCCGCGCGCGGTGTTGTACCGGGCCGCGGCTTCCCTGCAAACACCGCGCCGATGATGAGGGTGAAGCCGACGCGTGCTTGCCGACGAGCTCGACCTGCATCCGGAGCTGGGCCGCCCAGCGCGCCGAGCTGCAGGGAGCAACAGGCGCCCCCGCACCCCGCCACCCCGCCACCCCGCCGCCCCGCACAGCTTCATTGTGGCGGTCACTCGGGCCGTGAAATCGCTTAGCGCCTTTCCGGACGGCCCTCACCCTCCCCTTCCACCCCGCCACCGTCGCGGCATCGCGGCCGGGCTCTCGGTCGGTAGGGCTTTTGCCCCGACTCGGGCGCCGTTTCCTGCCCAAAGTCCTGGAGGCCCTGCTCGCTGTGGGGGCGCTCCGTCCTGTCTCCCACCCCACGCCACCTCGCGGCAGTGGCGCTGCAGTGCACCACGCTGTACTATGCCCCCCCCCCCAACACCATCAGCACGCACCACAAACGACGCGTGTGTCTCATCACCAATACCATTACGCCCGCCGCCTCTTTGCCTCTTTCCGCGTTCGTACCCAGTCATCCAGCCCCCCCCCCCCCCGTTTCCCGCGCCTCCACCCCCGCGCGAGTTTTCAACGCCCGCGTCACGAACTGGAGGCTTACGGCGTTATGGCCGAGTCGTGTCGCCACTTCACGCGTGTCGCGCCTCTGACAAACGACTGTCGTACCTACCCCCGCGCTGGGGCGGCCGAAGGGGCCGAAGGGGAGGGGAGCGGTCGGCGGGCAGCGAAGTCCGCGTGCTGACGGTGCACACACACACACACACACACACACACACACGCCCACGCACACATGCATCCCTGAGTGCGTGTGCGTGACCCCGCCGCCCAGGGCTGGAGGGAGGCCCTAGCGCATCGTCGGCGATGCAACGCGCGCCAATTTCGAACTTCACCGGTTGCGTGGCGGGGCTGGCGGGGCCCCAAGGCGAGAAGGCGAAGACCGCGAGGGGGAAAGGGACAGACAAACAACAAACGCACAAGGGCGTGGCGGGGCGGGGCGTGGCGCGGCATGGCATGGCGAGGCGGGGTGGGGCGGGGTGGGTCGCGGCCGTAGTCGAGACGCAAAGTCGCTAAGACGAGACGACACTTTCGTCATGAGGGGCTCGGAGGAGAAGGGCACCTCGATTACATTTGCCGTTGGGCGGGAGTAGCTGTTTGTCTGTTTGTCAACGCGAGGTTAACAATCGTCGCTTTCACTACGACGAGTACGACACGGCACGGCACGGCACGACACGGCACGGCACGACACGGCACGGCACGGCAGGGCAAGGCACGGCACGACACGGCACGGCACGACACGGCACGGCACGACACGGCACGACACGACACGACACGGCACAGCACGGCAGGGCAAGGCACGGCACGACAAATGCAACCTGCTGCAACACTTTCGCCTATTGCACTAGGCGCTGCACTGGTGGCCGCAGTCCACGGTAATCCAGGGGGGCGGACTGGCGGGCTTCGCTGCTTCGCACTGCACTTTGCACTCGCACTGCACTCACCTCGATGCTGTAGGACTTCTTGATGGCGAACATCTCGCGGTTCTTCTTGGCGGCGTGCACGCCCATGTTGTTGGACTCGGGAGTCTTCATGTTGAACAGGGGTAGTCGGAGGGGACGGGGGTTGTGGGTGTAGTTGTACAGTCCAAAGGCCGAGAACTCCAGCGCGAATAAATGGGATTAGCGGTCTCTTCGGACGAACTTTACGAACTTCGGATGGGACGGGAGCTTCCTGAACGCGACCACTGAATGACTTCAAATCTATCTCCACCTCTTGATCGAGGAGGACAAATGAGAATTTCTAATCCGTCTGTCGAGGAAGCCGTCGAAAGGAGTCCACCCGATCCCGAAGTGTCTCGGTGGCAGTTGCACGGAAACAGACGCCGTGGGCCCTGTGTCAACTGCTTAAATAGGTTCCAAGAGGTGGCGCTCCGGTGCTGCCCCCGCCTCCCCCCGCCGGGCCCCGCGCGCGCCCCTCCCGCTGCGCGCACGCTGGTCCGCGCCTCCCGCCCCCTCCCCGCGGCCCCGCGCCCCGCCCCGCTCACCGCTCCGCCGGCCGGGCCCCTGCCCCAGCGCCTGGCTCCAGACTTGAACTTGCCGAGGCGCGCGCCAGCGGCCCGGCTGCCCGGCCGGGCGAGTTCCGATGCAGGCAGATTTCCCGCCAACCTGGGCCTCGTGCGTCACAGGGCTGCCCGTCGAGGCGGCCTCCCATTGGCCGCGCCGGGAAACCCCCACCGTTCGCTGGCCAATCACGGCGCGGCTTCGGGGATGACCCTTGGCGCCGTCCCGCACCTCCCGCACCGCGTCGCACCGCGTCGCACCGCGTGCTGCTGGTGCTGCTGCAGAGGCGGCGGGCGAAGCGTCGCGCGGCGCAGGCCTCATGGCGGAGCGCAGCGGCGGCAGCGGCCAGGCCGCCCCGTCGTCATATCGACTGGCAGGCCTGGAGCCTGGAGCCTGGCAAGGGCAGGGCAGGCAATCCGTAACACGCGGCCGCCCCTCGCTCACGCGCCCTCGCGCCCCATGCACTGGCAGGGGCACACTTGGCTCTCTTTAAATTTCAAGCCGTTCGCCCCTAAACAAGTAATTGAGACAAATGAAAATAAGCTTCACTCTACGGCACTGTATTTGAGGACTTGGAAACGCGAGGACAGGCCGCATGGAGGCGCTGGATGGCCGAGTGCAGGTCCACACAGTGCGGGCGCGCAGCACACAGGGCGCCGCGACCGGCCGTTGAACCGGTAGCATCAACACCTCAATCCTGGACCACTTGGTACAGTCGACTTTCCAGATGGCGTGTCCTCGGACTGTCCCAGCAATCGGGGATCCGGCCAGGGCCAGGTTCACGCGGCCGGGACTGGGACCTCGGGGTCGAGAGTCGAGAGCCGAGACGCACGTGGAACACCGTGGAACGCGGACAACAAGGGCGAGTCAATGCGCCTGACCCGAGGGTCGCGAACGTCGCCAACGTGGCGAATCCGCCGCGATGCCTCCGTCTCTCTCGCACCTATACGGGACGTCCCATGAGTGCGAGAGAGACAGAGCGACGAAAGCAGTGCTCGGAATCAGCCTGCAGAGGCAGTGCAAAAACACGTTCGCCGTGACAGAGGCAACCGTGTCATTCGCCAGCATGCACCACCAGCTCGCCGAAGGCAGCCCACCGGCTTTCACAGTGCAGGGGCTGAGGTCCTAGAGGCACCAGCGAATCCCACCCATGCTGCGACCCGAGCGAGTCAGAAGAGCGGTTTGTCGCTGTCTGTCTGTCTGTCTGTCTGTCTGTCTGTCTGTCTGTCTGTCTCTCTCTCTCTCTCTCTCTCTCTCTCTCTCTCTCTCTCTCTCTCTCTCTCTCTCTCTCTCTCTCTCTCTCTCTCTCTCTCTCACCCTTATGGAGGGAGCCACGAGAGGAGAGCGACAGAGACAGAGCGGCGAGGCGAAATTGCTACCTATAAGCAGGGGCGCCCCAGCCCGTCACGCGTCTGTGGGACTCGGCCCGGCCCGCCCGCGTCCAAAGCCAGCCTAGACGCCATCGGAAGGTGATTCATCTCGGAAGTGTCGTCGACACCCGCCTCATTTGCGCCTGCACTGCCTACACCGAGTGCAGCGCCACAGTGTAGGCACTCGCTGTGAATGAACCTCGCCAACCGCCGAGGAGGCGACGTGGCGTACGTGCCGATGCTGCAGTTGTGCAAACAATTTCCTAACCGCTCATTCGCGTCCATTCATAAAGCGTTCATTCACGGCGTTTTCACCGCAACGCGCAGCAACGCGCCGCTGATAGTACGTGGTGACTCACTGGCAGTGCACCGCGCGTCACCGACGTGCGCCACGCACTACACCACTACACGCACGCCGCGCCGCACGCCGCACGCGGACGTCACGCCGCGGATAAGCCACGCGGGACTACCGAGAAACGGTGCGGTGCCGTACGCGTGTAGTGCGCGCGTGCGAGTGTGTGTGTTTGCGTGTGTGTGTTTGTGTGTGTGTGTGCGGGTTTGTTCTGGTATTTGAGGAGAGCGAAGCGTTATTCCCGACGCTGTAATGAGGCGTCGCGGTCGCATTTTCCTCGTCGGGAAGCCCCAGGCCGGCCCCCCGACGCCTCAGCGCACCGCCACGCGACGCCACGCGACGCCACGCGACGCCACGCCGCGGCGGGGCTCGGTTCGGACACGCCAGGCCACGCCGAGCGGTCCAGGTCCAGGGCTGTCCCTCAGGACGGCAATCTCCACGGCCGGCCCGGCGAGGGCGAAGGCGGGGAAATCCCTGCCGCGGGGGGCGCGGCGGCCTCGGCGGCGGCGGACGACGCCCAGCAGCCCATCCTCGCCGCGTTCCAGAAAGCCTCCGCGCTCCGTGGAAACGCCGCCGGCGCCGGCTGGCACCGACCCACAGTGGCGCGAACGGGGTGGTCACGGGGTTAGTCACGGCCTCCTAGTGGAAACCCAGGGACGCGGCGGAGGCGGCACGGGGCGGCACGGCGCGGTTTGACGCACGGCGCGGCCGCCACCAGCCCATTCCCTGGGCGTTCCCTGGGCGTTCCCCGGCGGGGCGCCCTTGATGACCGACTCTTTGTCGGGGAGCTACCTGCCGGCCGCCGGCCGCCTCTGACGCAGGTGCGGTCCACGCGCTGCTGCAGCACGCCGGGCGCGGCCATGACGACCACCACGGCACACAGTGGGCCAGAAGACCAGTGGAGGCGGTCAAAACTCTAGACGCGTTTTGAGCTCCATAGACGCTAAATAGGACTCGGACCGAGCGCGTGACCGCATCTGTGGATTCCTCGTTCGGAGAACAATCCATTAGTGGGGTCACACGTTCGGTTTGAGTCCCATTTAGCTGCTCCGGAGCTCAAAACGCCTCCTGTGCGGTATGGCCAGCTCGAGCAGCCCGGCGGGCAGGCAGCCGCATCGCGCGGGCGCGCGGCGTGCGGCCTACCTCGAAGGCGCTCTGCCAGGCGATTGCGATTGCGATTAATGCCTGGACCACAAGTGATCGTCTGGCTTTCGGGCCCGCCGGGACGGCCGAGTGGATGCTGTGACGAGTGTTGTGACGAGTGTTGTGGCAAGTGTTGTGACGAGTGTTGTGACGGGTGTTGTGGTCATTGTTGTGGCGATTGGCTAGTGTTGTGTGGCCTCCATGATATGACAGCGAGGCAGCTCGACGGGCCGTCCACTGGATTATCAGCGGGGCGACCGAAGTGCTGCAACCTGGGTGACGTTTCAGCTTGTATTGTGTCTCTGTCGCTGATTAGTCTGTGGCGTCAGAGGGTGTTCAGTATGTGTACCGTTTGAAGGTCGTATTTGTTTATACACTGAATTAATTAATTTTTTAAACTTTGTTTATATTTGCGCAGCACCTCTGATTAAGCTTACGTACAGCAGCACAGCTGCGCATACTATGCAAAGACACCGTGTCCGTCCTTTCTTGGGCGCTCCTCGGTGAAATCAGTTTTCCCCAAATTGGAGCAACTGACCGCAGCAGGTGCGTGAGTCAGGATAAGCAGGCGTGGCTGCGCCCTGGGGCTCGCCCAGGCTGCCCAGGCTACCCACGCCGAACCGGGAACCGCCGTACCGCGATACGCCCGACGCACGGGGAAACGGGGGAGATCCCCGGGGCCCCGACGGCCCGACGCAGAGGCCCGACGAGAGGACCCCCTCCCCCCCCCCCCGCTCCGCAGCGTCCGCAGCCTCCACCGGTCGCCCTAGCTTGACCTATCCCAAGGCAGAGCCCCGGCGATGTTGACTTGGGCGCGCGGGCGGCGCGGGCGGCGCGGCCACAAACAAACCGAGTTTGGTGGCGTTCCATCTTCGAGTTCCTCCTTTGTTCGGAGTGCCTGCATTGCCTGCATTGCCTGCAGCACGCCGCCTTAGTGCAACATTATACCCACACGCCAGTCCACTGTAAGCCGCGCCGCTCTTCCTGCTGCGTTTGATTTGAATGCACGCGTTCTGCGTCACTCCGTTATTCCGCCTCATTCCGCAGTCCAAGTCCTCGTAATTAATCTTCTTCATTTCTCGTTTCCTGGCGAAAAGCGCGGAGCGCGCGAAGCGAGGACGGCGACGACAAGTCGAGCGGCGTCGCTCGAATCAATCATGGCTTCGAGGTGTTTTAATCCGTTCGAGAGGATAGGGTAAGGTGCCCAGTGATGGCCATGGTACCAGTGATGGCCACTTTAGACTTTGCACTGACTTCTCATCCAGGCGAGAGAAGTTAAACAGTTGAGCTTCTGGGGTATTGTACCCTCACCTATTAGCAACACGACACCGCAAAAATTTCGTCTAGTTACTGTCGTGGGCGGCCGCACGGGCTCAGCGCAACGAATGCTGCGTTGACATGTTTTGTTCATTTTGTAGAGCTGAGATCAAACCAGTAATCACAGCGTTTCTTTCGCAGATTTGGAATTTTTACTTTGTTTCTAACTGATTTCTGTCAAAAACGGAAGCACTGGGCTACTCCCCGCTCAAAACGTAGAGTAGCCATCACCATGCAGGGCACAGGCCATCACCAAGCAAAGGGTGGCCATCACTGGGCAAACTGCACTGATATTTTGGTCACTCTTTTCGCAAAGACGAAGTTTAATTTTGCTCCTTTTCAAAGTGAAGAACCTTCACTCTATCCTTCTTGCATGCTCCTGAAAATGTTCAAAACGGTACGACGATTAAAAGACTTCGTACACGGGTGAAAGACGCATCTGTGCGCTAAAAGTGGCCATCACTGGGCACCTTACCCTAGGTCCTCTCGAGACGCTCCGCGCGCGAAGCGATAAGGCGTTGTCGAGGCTGGTCCGCGTCACGCCGTCACGCCGCCGTCGGCCATCACCGCGGAGAGATTACATAGACCACTCGGACAGTCTGGGTTATACAACCTGGGTATGGAAATGACCATCCCAATTTTTCCCTCT